TGTTTTTTATAGGTCAGATTGGACAGATACTTTCTGCTCACTGGGTAATGTGCAGTGTGGTTTCTTGGCCGGTCGATGACGCTGTTGCATTTTGCATTGGCAGCTCCTGGGACAGCTGGACAACTCTGGCCCGCCACCTGCTGACAAAGACAAAATCATGGCTATCCCAACCATAAGCATCTCATCAGAGCAAGTCGGTGAGCATGAGCCTCATACAGCATGATGGAGACACCCAATATATCATTGTCTTCGAGTATATTTTATCTCAGTTCAATGTATTTTCAATGCTTAATTGTAGGTAAAGATGTAGTGTTGCAATTGCCTGCTCACTCGTACTGTTGCTGGCGGAAAGGCCTCCACTAGAGGGGGACCCTGTTGAGAGTATTTGGTCTACTTCTCCACACTGGCAACAAGTCTTGGAAAAGTTAGAACGAACCACACGTGACCCACTGATCGACTGATGTACCCATTTATACTGCTGGGTTGACAAAGGTGGGAGGATTTAAGAAGCTTGTCCATTGTTTGAATTTGCCGTGTCGGGAGATTTAAATAGCGACCTATGCATTGCAAGTCTAGTGCTCTAAATATTACACCATGGCAGCATTCCTAAATTGTACATGTCCACATATACATTGTACACCTGTGTCTACACTCGTGCATATATACACACATAAACCCTTTGTTGATCACTGCTGGATGGAGCTCTCTTCATGCCATGCCAGTCATGTGGGTTAACTATACTTCACTATGCTCATTAATGCCAGTGGGTGATTGGGGGGTGGCCCAGAACCAATTCAGATATCGTTCATCACAAATTTTTGCTGTGGTCAGGAGTCAAGTTAAGGTCGCCAGTTTCATATTGCAGTGCGCTAACCACTGCCACCAAATTATTTGTTTAAAGAATGTAAAATATGGAAAATGTTATTTTCAGTTTACGTTATTGCCAGCATGCAATCACGTGTGTTTGTGTGCGTGGGAATTCATTCAGATTGCGGTTTGGAATGTTCCGTTTGCAAAGAGGACTTTGATGAAGGGGAGAAAGCCAGGCAGCTGCCTTGTAAACACATCTACCACACGGACTGCATTATCCCGTGGCTAGAAATGGTGAGAGTTAACCACCTGAACCATTTCAACTTAATTTTTTCAAACATCTTTTCACAATTTCTGTTGAATTTTAACTTTCTGTGATGTTCTCTCTTCACTTTTTGTAACTGCATTTGCTTTGATTATCCTTTTAGACACCATTCATTTGGAAAAAAAAATAACTTTATCTCTACTATTGTTTCACTTAAACGCATTTCCACATTAACTTTATCATTGTCCACCTCGCAGAAAATAGTTTGCACATGCAACTTAACCCTTTCCCGTTCTGAAACGTCTGCAAGTTGCAAGGTGGGTCCCTTTCACCGTTGAATCTCGGAACGGGCATTAATTTTATTTAGAGAGGCATAACGCCATTGTTTTTAAAGACGTTATACCCATCGTAGAGAACTATAGCAACACGACTGCATTTTATGATAGCTGGCGCCAAACTGTGCCATACTTCTTCCCGCATGGCCTTGTGGGAGCCTCAAGATGGACCAATAAGGATGTGTAATTTTAGTTTTTATTCCGATTCTGTACACGCACATACACGTGCACATCATCGAAATGGGAAAAAATGTACAATTGTCTTTTTTTTTTATAAAATCGCAACTGATGCAATAATTGAGCAACAGAGCAGCGCGTTAAAACGACGCGACTGACTGTACCGTCTCTCACCGGGCGCAGCACGACACGTGCCCTGTGTGCCGCACGAGCCTGAGCGGAGAGAGCACAGCCACGGCGCAGCACGCCTTCTCCGGGCCTTACCCCGCCCCGGGGAGTGCCCCTTCCTCGGAGCCCCAGGGCCCCGGCACCAGCCAGGACGTATAGCGCACGTCGCTGCCACCGCTGCCGCCACCACCGCCGCCACCCACGCAACCGCCCCCAGCTTTCGCCTGAAGTATCCGCACCACCACCACCACCTTACCGAGCCATGGAACATGGCCACTACAAACGTTCGCCTACCAAATTTGCTGGCGGACGACCACCTTTACGGTGGAGGATCGTCGTCTTGCGTTAACTTACACTCGAGGGTAGCGAACTGTGTAGATGCAACACATGCTGATCAGATTCATAACAGTGTGTTTAGGCTGTGTCCTCGTGTTTAGTATTGATGACGCTGCACACTGCGAAGGATTGTATGCATATGATTTTTAAATGTTAGGTTGGAGCCCTTCACGCATTGGCTTGCATTAGTTTTAAATGGAACTTTGCTATAACGATACCGGCCTTTTCAGACTGGAGGCATGATGCAGTGCCAAGCTGTCCGATATTTCTCTAGGTGCCCACCCGTGTTACGGGCAGTGCTGTTTCCAGGAGATCTGTAGGCCCGGTGCAAAGCTGATCGTTGCACAGTCAGCTTGCACAGTTGAACAGCTCTTGCTCTGGGATACAACGGCGCAATACGAATAATATACAAGCCAGCCCTTGAACATCATCGATTTTCAATCCAGTGGAAAAAAAAAATCTGCAATTCTAACACATTCAGAGGCTGTGAAAGCGATGTAAACGCCAATAAACACAATTTGTCGACATTTCAAACAATTTTGTCGACTTCTTTGGGCTCGAGTGATGTGGTAAAGCAATCTTTTGCGGAATTCTAATGCAAGGCAAGATAAAGCCAGTGTATTTAGCCAACAGGTCTTTCTCAAGGTGCACTTTTAGCAAAAAAAAAGACTCCGCTTTGCCAGTAAAATTACATGTAATTCCACCATGTGTATAGCATCCCTATTGCTGTTGCAGAACCCTGTTAGTGCTTATTTATGCCAACACTGTTACAAATACAATACTAAATTTTAACGCAACTCATTTTACATTTTAGGGTAGTTTCTACCTGAATCACTTTTAAACATTGAAATAACGTGAACAATGTTAGTGAGTGGTGTAAAATGAACGTGGGATAAAATGGTTAACAAGGGAGAGCGAATGTTGTTTTTGGTTGTGAAGTGAAAGTTAATGTTTTTTTTCCTGGGTTGTTTATTCACGGTGCACAGAACAAAGTGACATTATCAGCAACTTACATTTTTTGCTCTTTGAGTTGAAAAATATTCCTTTCCCCTGAGCCTTACTAAGCAAAAATCTTGTTTTGTTGTTTATGGTACGCAGTGTAATGTTTTTTCAAAGTTTGAGAAATGTGTATACAGTTTTGAATTTCTGTTGTATAATAAGGGTGTTTAAAGGAGTTTGCTTCACCAATATTGATAATGATGATGCATGAGGGTCAATTTGGAAATATAAAATTGTGCGTTATTGGTATTTCTAGATTGTGACTTGCACTTGTGTTTTGTCAGATATATAATATTCCATATATTGGTACACCATACTGTTGTTCTATGTGGATTATCATGCAAGTTTTTGTTCTTATTGTTTAACAAAGAAAAAAATAGACACCTTATATTGGCAGCTTGTTGTTGTTGAGTTTGGTTTTTCTGAGCAAACAATTTTGTGTATTTGAACACTTCATGTTGGTGACTCGTCTTGACAAACGGATATTTTTGTGCAAAAATTTTACATTCACGTAAAAAAATTATAGTTCTTAGTTTCTTCCAAAAAAACCCCACGGACGTTAAGGATAGGCAGTTCGAAAGCATTTTTTTGGGGATGCACATACACATAACGTGTATATGCATGTGGAAGTTGTGTGTACATATTTGCACGATGGAATAGCAGGCGTTGCAGATCAATATCTGTGGGAAAGAAACTAAATCTAGACAATCGTGTCTCGTTTATACGTCTTCATTTGTGATGGCATAAACTCTACCAATAACTGCTGTGATTTCTGTCATGCAACTGAACTAATGTTTTATGTAATCTGTGAGCTGTAAATGTATACAGTAAATCTGGCATTTGTAATCCTCGTAACGTTTTGTCACTTCCTCCCTGTGCCCCCCCCCCCCCCCCAGTTGAAGTTATAGAAAATTACATTACAAAACAGCATGATTTTCCAGTGGTGAGATGTAAATACGGTACTAAATTGGTATTTTTTTGGACCGAAGACACATTTCGAAGTCATTAAGAAAACACATTCATCAATAACATTGCCTTAAAATGAAAACAAATCTACAGGTGACGTTTCAGGAAAATGGCCCTTATGTGCTATGAAGGGCCATGCGCCAAGATGTTGCCTATTGTATATTATTATTTTTATTTCAAGGCAGTGATGTTAACGAACGTGTTGATTTTTCTTAAATGTCCTTGTGGTGCACCACTGCCAACACAGACAGCATCGCCAAATAAACAGTTATAAAGGGTGTATACCAATGCATAATTTAATCAATTTCGAATTTTACGATAAATGCTTCCACATGTGTGCAAGAATCATGTTCTTTTTGACTTCAGTAAATTGCGTGAATGTAATGCTTGTTACACAAGCTGTTACATTCATCACGGTGTAAAAAACCTGCAGTGACCCTGCGTCAAAATGATTTGTCAAATCTAAACGGGGGGGGGGGGCAAATCATCACACTCCAAGCAGACAAGCTTTGGGCAAGACATTTAAAAGAAAACACGAACGCAAACAGTTAAACAGTGCATGTATTTTTCACGTTTCGTTCAAACGTCTGCATCATTAAAGTAGCGACCCTGTTTAACAAATTTGTACATCGTTGCGTAGAAGCAACACGACAGAAAGGAATCTACGGGTCTACAAACTTTACAGCAGAGATTGTCACCCGAATTGTTAGACAAACAAAAGCTCCGCATGTCGGAGCTTTTTCTCAACGAACGTGCGGATGACAATGAAACGAGGAATGCATATTTACATCGAAGCACATTTTGGTCTGAAAGACGTTAACCTTTTTATAGAAAATCAGTATCACTTTTGTATCCTTTGGGGAAATATATATGTGCGTAAACTAAATATCTGTAACATTACATTTCTGAACAATACCTGAAATATAAATTGGGTGGTCTTCCTATTTTAAAGGGGAAAACCATTGGGGGGGCGGAAAGCAGTAATAAATATAACTTTAAAAAAATACAATCCCCCAACTCCCATGATGCACCCTTTCATAATGCACAAGGGTAACAGACCATGTAATGTTCTCTTTACAGATGGGAGAGGTCATATCGGAGACATTTGGGACTTGAAGGAAAACCTTTCGACGGACAGCATATGGAGTGGGGTGCCCTTGGGTTTCCCACGTGGACCATTGTAGATAACACATTTTTAAAAAGGTAAAATTTTGAGCGTAAGGACTAGAGAATGACCCTTTATATTTTCCACCACCGTGAACTGGTTGTACTATAAAAAGCGCAACCAATCTGAAACAAACGTTAACGCCCACTACCTTGACCCTTAAAGTTGTAAAGGATGTGCACACAACTGGACCTTGAGCTAGGTACGAGTGTACAGCTACTAACGAAAACGTACGTGAGACAAAGACCAATTGAGAGGGAGTGAGAGCACCATCCTTTGCTCCGCAGCTATGTGGGATGAATCACCTCTGCCTTCTGGAGCTGCTGCATCGGCTGCTTTCGCTTGAGGAAGCCCAGCTGCAAGCGACGCAAAGCACAAGCTCATTAAGTGTGGCAGATGACATCGCGCACCACTCGTGACCGCCCCTGACGCAACTGCTGGAGTCCCCCATCAGCCCGATGATACACTAGCACCAGCGCAGAATGTGGCCGTGCTTGTGCCTGGGAACCCAGTGGGGAATCGCAGGGCCTTCCTGATAGGCTTGCATTATAAGAATGGTATGGATACCAAATGTACTAAACTATTATTAAATGCGTACGAGGCTGTTGATGGGCATTATTTAACTATCTCGTATCACGATTGCTGAGCACAGGCCCAAAGAGACATATGCAGTAACGCAAAGTGGACCACAACTAAGAATGCTAATAAAACTCTGAAAAGTCACCTAGGTGAAAAAATAAAATATGAAATATTTATTTATTCTAAATAAATTTATTTTATATTTTCACCTACGTGACTTTACTGAAAGAACCAAAGAGCATGGATCCTTGCGGTCACGAAAACTTCAAATCTAGAATACTAATAATCACATCAGATTATAATCAGTCATTAACAACGGAAGATATTTAAAATGGTGAAGTTAATGGGAACTGACTGGTAGCAATATAAGAATGATAAGGAAAGGACTGAACAACAGTGACTCAAGTGAACCAGCACAGGATCATCTCTCAGCTGACATACCATAAAGCAACAATATCTAATACATTCCGAGCCTGTACACGCATTGCAGGAGAGGTGATGAATAAAGCATACACTCACGATTAGTTTCTCACACAATGTGAATGATGAAAGTAATCTGCAAAGCCAACATGATTCCGTGAATGCAGAACTGTTGTTAAATTGGTGCACGTGTATTAACACGTTTCTGCTCGAGCCTTGCAATGAGCCTCGGTGGGGGATCCACACAAATTTCGGCGATGCATTGTCGATGTGTGCCGAGGTTACCTTCCACAGGGCCAGAATGATGAGCGCCAGCAGCAGCAGCCCTCCCAAGACACTCGCTAATATTATCCAAAACGGAAACACGTACTTCCCTCGCTTTATGACCTCCACGGTAACCTAAAAATAAACAACAAAGGGAGAAAACTCACTCAGTTCGTTGGTGCTACTGCGTTTAGCAGTGGTGCACTATAACAACAACAAAACCTGGCATTTGTCAACAGTGGCCTTAAAAGGATAAATATATAATAGGCAATGTCGGGCAATGGCCCTTCATAGCACATCAGAGAGATGAGTGGATAAGCATTGGAGACTGCACTATACACCGTGGAACCTGATACGAATTACATTTCACAAAATACTCTGGTTCTTTCGGTAAAGTCACGTAGGTAGAAAAATAAAATAATTTTTTTGTTTTATTTTATTTTTCTACCTACGTGACTACCCAAAGAACCAAAGAGTATTGATTCCTGCAGTCACGAAAGCTTCAAATCAAGATTTCACAAAAATGTTTTCTTATGAACAATTTGAAATTTGCCATATGAAGTTACCCAAAAGACTCGGTTTAAATCAGTGTGTGTGGCACCATTAGCACTGCTCCATTGCAATCCCTGCACTGGCAAAGCCGAAGCTCTGAATCCCATCGATGTGCGGGGGTCGTGCACGCTCGACCACGCTGCGCACGCGCGTACGTTCGTCGTGCCGTGTCCTTCCTTGATGACCATGAGCGAAGAGTTGAGAAGGTGCAGCGTTGTGGGCGCCACGATCCTCACGTGACTCAGCTTTCCCTGTGACAGTGAAAATCGCGCATCGCTAGAAATGTCTCCGAGCTCGACTTTGCCATCGCCGTCCCCACAATTGCCGCCACTATTGTTGTCATTGTCATCAATCGTCATCATCAGTCATCCTCATCATATCAACATCGTCAATGTGCCACATATCATGTGTTGCAATATTAAACACATTTTAAGATATTATTTTAACCCTGGCATTTCCAGGTTCATTCATAGCTCATCGGAGGAATCCGATGAGCTATGAATCTCCTTTTCACAGATGTCCAGTAGGTGGAGTATACGCGTTAGTGAGTAAACCTCCGCACCGTGTGAAATGTGGAATTCCACAGCCTCGTCGTCACCTTGACCCCCAGCGTCTGATGCTTGTCCATCCGTTTTATTGTGCAGAGAAACGTGGCACATTTGGCCGTCTTGCAATTCTGTAAAACAATTACACGCATTTAAGTTCACTCGTGGACTCTGGAGGCGAGCACTTGGCCGCCACCACTGAGGTCCTCAATTCAAATCCTCCGTGTTTCAGTTGCCCAGGATTAAACCATGTTCTCATGTGATGACTTGTTGGTCTCAGCCCGGTCACCAATCACTAAGGAAACATACAATTACTTTTGCTGTTTCCTTCAAATATTGGCTAAATTGCAGCTCGAAGCCAAGATTGATTTGATCGACATACAACACACTTTTCAGGGCATATAAAAGGTGTGTCTCTTACGTAGCTGCAGAGGTCGACTGAAGTGACATTTTGCCGGGCCGTTCTCTGACACAAGAGACATCCACTGCTAGCGGTAGGAGTTCCAAATTAAACTTTAATTGCATGGCACCAATAGCATAACTTGAATTATATTTGGTGGAGATAAAACTTTAAAAAATGACTTTATTTGACGACCGTACGTTTACCATTAGACCACAGCTGACCAAGGGCTTGTGCCAAAAAATATTAAAAAATAACAACCTCATCCTATATACCATTCATCTCACTGTATTACTAACAGACTCCCTTTGATTAATGAAGGCATTTTGGAGAATAATCAATGGACACACACACACATGCTCATTCAATCTATAAAGACCACAGTGTAATGAGGCTTGACTCTTAACGCTTTAAAGTGATTGGAGGCAGTTTCATAGATGGGATGTTCGACGTACATATATCCATGAATTAAAAAAAACTGCTCGAATAAGATGTAGCAAACTTGTCAGAAACACGTATCACAGTGGTACATTTAAATAGCAATGTATCTTTCGTGTAAAAATCACTAAAACAGTCGTTAATCACCACTGCTAGGTGAGCAAATGTGTTATATTAAAAACATGTTCTTGGCTGTAATTAACGTTTATTGTATCCAACATTCTTGGGCTTATTTTGAGTAATGTCGGCCCATTAGATAATGTTGCGTCTAACTACGACCTATATAATAAAGACATGGTACTTGCTTTTAACATCTGGCAGTTCACCAGCATTGATTCAAGCAAGCCTGACTGCTGATGTTGAAACCGGTCCAGAGGTTGTAATGAAACAATCCTGCCAAAACGATTTACTTTTTAGATGTGAGAGATGGATACATGCGAAGGTTATATATTTCCCGCTTAACTATTTTGTTATTCTTGGGCTTAGATGAGCTTACCAGTTCTCTCACAGCCATGAAGTCCTCGGCCAGGAACACAGCACGTGGCTGGCTCTGAGCCACGGTGAACGGGTCGACGATGTTTCCAGTGTGGCAGCGGACTTTGTGCGGCTGGAAGAGTCACGATCGAAGAAGAAAAAACAGTGCCTCCACCACAACCACTGCAACCAACAACAACCCGTGTGTATATACTGAAAATATGAACGCCATTGGATTGTGTAAAACAAACACTTTATATATTTTTTTACGTATGTGAAGGAGATGCACTGTCTGCTCATCATTTTTTGTCACTTATGATCTCCACAATGATACGAATGATACGTTTGTGTAAACGTGCTATGGGTTCAATGTGTGGCATTGTTTCAATATTTACGAATGCGATACACAAGCCGCTGTAACAATCAAGTCGCTACGCTGAACACACGACCACCGTGATGGCACTGTAGGTGTCGTGGCCATCTGGACACTCCCAACATTATTAGATATAGCTTAGAGACACTCACAGAATGTTGTGCCCCCGGGTCAACACACGCAGTCAGCACACACGGTAAATACATGAAGGCAGCACACGCCATTAGCACACACACACAGAATCGACACAGAAAACACTGCACGCACACATGTTCAACACGCGCACACACATTCGCAATCAGCACATTCACAGGATCAACACAACACATTCACACGGCCACATCACTGGAACGTCGGCTGTGGCATCATGTAAATTATTTCTCTTCCTGGAAGATGATACCGAATCGCTGGGTTTGGGCTTTAGTAGAATTTTGCATAGTTATGCAATATACATAATTTTAACGATGCCTCGGTGGATGATTATGTGGAATAAAATCATATAAAATAATGCAAACAGGCATGGTGCAATATGCTTCAAGCCATTACTTCCAGCAGAAAATAGGCAAATCCTGGACCAGTTTTGACCATCTAAGTCTCATCAGCAGTGTCAATGTATGGCTTCTGACAGTATAATACTGTACTAAAAAAACTATTAACTTTTTTTGTACAGGACAAACCTTGCTGATCAAAACCAGTCCAGGGCTTTGAAAACATAGGGCCAAATGACCAATTGTCGAATGAACATGTAGATTGTTTGGTGGTGAAATTAACTCTTACTGGTTAGTCCGTTTATTTAGTTATCTGCTGTTAAATGAATACTTGGCCACAGAGTTTAATTGTGGCACGGTCGACGGGAGGAGCTGTGTAATGCAGGAGATCGCTGGCTATGGCACATGAGCCATGGACAGGTGCTGCAGTGTGCCACTACAAACCGGGAAGGTGTCCACGTGCGTGATGTAGAGCAGCGGATTTCCTTTCTGCGAGAATGCTGGAATGGAGACGTTCACCTGAAGGTGCTCTAAAAGATACGGCCCCGTGTTCTCTATCTGCAGATGAGTACACGTGCGTGAGCAAAAATATTGACAAAAGCAGACAATAGGCGCCACAGTGGCGAGATATTAACTACCTGGCCTGGTATATTTGGAGTTTGAATGTTCTCCTGGTGTTCGTGTGGATTTTTCTCCGGTCCTTCGGGTTTTCCATCCACATTTATAAACAAGCGTTTCAAGTATTTGGTTGCTATACATTTCCACGTGATAAGCCACTTTCTTGAGCTATCATTTGTGGCCAGGTCGCATCTGAAAAATATCTATATAGCTCAGTGGGCCTTACCTGGTAAAATATTAAATTGTTCGGTTTAGTTTTAGATGGGGCAAGTGTCCTTCGTGAGCACCTGTGAAGGCCGAGACGATACACAAAGGGGGTGGTGTGGCCAGAACCACACCCGTTCGCCTTTGTCTCCCCGGTGCTGATGTTTAATACACACTGCACACCAGGCACTCATTTAAGCCGGAGTCGACCGAGTCAGGTCTCCAGATTCGAAGAACAATGCCCTAACCACGACACAAGCACTCCCCACATGTGCGAGCACGTGTGGTAGCACACGTGAGATTCGACGGGTAGGAAGTAACGATTCACTCTGTCAAAGGTAAAATGGATTGTTATGATTCAGCTCTGTGCTTCGATTTAAAAACCGATATTCTTCGGTCTCATGTTACCATCTTGCTTCTATGTTTTTTTTAAATTTGTTCTGTCTAGTTTGTACAGGTTCGTTTGCTCCGTTAACCCGTATATAACATTCACATAATGTACATGTTATTTTAATAAATATATTTTTTATATATATTGCGTCGTTCATACAATTTACATCTCACAATCACTGAGGTACCAGAGACAAGCTCGAAGGCTGCCAGACAGTGAGCTGGTGCCAACAATTGCTCTGCAGGTTCTTTGTATATAAAGACGATGTCTTTCAGCCAACTGATGAGTGTTAATACAAGTGGCAGAAAAATAATCAATGTTGACATACATGATTATATGCATGTGGCATGAGCCGGAGAATCACTTTAACTCAATGCGTTTATGCATCGTTATTGTATATTTATGTCAGTCATGATATAGACTTCCCAATAAATTCTGTATGCAGTACAGAACACATTTCAGGTTATAGTTTCTGTCATGTGTTTACATAATGAAAGAACAAATGTAAAGATCAATGACGCTCATTTCATGTCTAAATTTCATATTTAGTAATGTAACGTTGAACCAATAGAATTGTGCGTGTAAGAATGTTTCGTGTTGGTAAAGTGCTGCCCCCTATTGTGGGATCTCAGAGGTAGCTCTGTGATATCCGCTTCCACGGGCCATTCTCTAACAGGAATGGTTGCACTGCTCTTTGTAAGAGATCCAAATGGATTCTCTCGTGATGCGACTTACTGCACGATTTGGGGTACAATTGGGGAGAAATTACAAAGAAATTAGGATTTTTTAAAAATCTACTATTCTTGATTCGTCTAAGTTCCATATAACTGGTTTGCGTGACTTCCGCAGCAAATAAAGAGTCTACATTAACCACAATGGTAACTGCAAAAATAACCCAGAATCGAATCGCAATCCTGAATAGTGAAAATTAATCAAAACACAAGCAGAGCAGAGGATCGTTACATGACTAATATGTATCCCTGAAAACTATAGGGGGAATTGCTGTGTCTATTGAGATCAGCTTGTGACACGGGCAAGCTTACTGTGATGGTGAATTTGAAAATCGTCCCAATGTCATTGAAGGACTTGATGATGTTGGGAGGCCGGACATCTTTAAGGATTTCAATGTATTCGATGTTGGTCTGCCTGGAACAATAAATACATATATTTAGAATGACATATACGTGATGAAATACGTGTTGAATGTGTATCGCACTGCATCATTGGAGAAAATAAAGGTGCATTTCTGAGTCATGTCTGAGCTTGTTCCATTGGCCATATAAGCTACTGATAGTTGCAAGGATATTATTTTTCTTTGCCACTGACTAATGATGTCCATGTGGCTTATGCACACGCAATAATCCAATCCCCAATGGCCTCTCATCCAATCCAATAGACAGGGCATTCTGATCCCAGATTCTTTGGTTCTTTCGGTAAAGTCACGTAAGTGAAAAACTAATAAAATAAATAAAATCACGACATTTCGATTGCAAAAAAAGCAATCATCATCAGGTGTGACAACCACATTTCTTGCTGTGGTTGTCACACCTGATGATGATTGCTTGTGTTGCAATCGAAACGTCGTGATTTAATTTATTTTATTAGTTTTTCACCTACGTGACTTTACCGAAAGAACCAAAGAATATGGATCTTTGCAGTCACGAACATTTCAAATCTAGAATGAATTCTGATCCCACTTTAAGGTAAATTACTTTGCGTGAGAGCATGGGGGTGTATGCATATATACAAGGTGCTTGATAACTGCACTTGCCCTAACAGTTTGTAAAAGGCGATATGGGGGACTTTATCTTTGTTTGTATATTGGGGGATTTTTTGTGTATGTGGGAGAATAGACATTAACAGAATTACAACAGCAACACAGTCGCACATTCGATACGGTGATGGGGTTGGCTCTACATCACACCACCCAGCAGCGCAAAGTACATTTAGAAACTAAAATGGTCCAAAGGATGCTTATACTACATAATGTGATGGTCAGGTTGTGTGTGACATGTTGTAATCCTATTACCAAACAATTGGTCATCTAAGAAGCATACAGTATATACAAAGGTTAGACTGAAATGTTACCATGGATTATTTTACATTTGAACTCATATTTGTTTATATGCACATCATTTATGTTAGAGGTACTGTTTTATTCTTGAAATATATATTGCAAAACACCAATGTAAATTTTAAAGTAAAGAAACAGGTTTTAGTCTACTGGTACTTTTGATGTTGTTGTCAAAACAGAGCATATATAACATAAATACAATCGCATGAACCAGTTACTACCTTAATACAGCTTAGTGTGGTGTAAGTGTGTACACGAGCCACCCAAAAATCACGCTCAATGGGACAGCAGTTTGCCCAAATCCGAGTGAAATTACACGAGCAAGGCTGATAATTTTTCACGTTTGGTGAGCCTTTAACATTCATCGGCAGCAATTGCACTTTTTTTTTACGACAGCCACAGAGGCTGGCAAAGTTCTAATGCACCTGAGTAAGATGGTGTCGGCTTGATAGCGCACGGGCAGCGACAGATGGAAGGCGTTGTCGTGCATTGTGTCCGGGAGCTCGTCGCTGTCGCTGCAAGGTGGCACGGATATTCAGCATTTGTTCTGTTATTTTTACATATGAACACTACCGTGAGCATGTGGTTGTCAAAAAAAACGCTGTCCACTTGAGAGAACCATCGTTTAAGAAGACGCAAAGCATTCCCAATGCGGTGCTTGCAAAAATAAAATCGTTGACATCCGATTAAATTAAACGATATGAATTATATATTGCCCTTTAGTTTCTGAGAACAGAGCCTCGCTGAGTCTCAGTATTCATCCCCAGGAGGTTCCCGCATTGGCATGTTTGGCCAATGCCTTTGATGAGTGGCATGTGGGATAAAACGAGCACCCGGAGCAAAACCCATCACACAATCGAAGTAATGACACTCAATACTTCGCACAAATGTATCAAAGAATGCGACACTTTCATGCCCTGGTCACGTCACAACCCCAGGTCATTTGTATCACGAATAAAATAGTGTGCTTCGTAATTTAACGTTTGCTATCAAAAGCAATTATCCCTTTACGAATGTTCAATAAGAGCCATTTCAATTCCCGAATTCCGTGGGTTATAAAATGCTCTGCAAAAGTACAACGCACTCCACACTTGTGTCCAGTGTCAATAAATGTAAAAAAATCTAGTCGATTTCACGTACACACATAAACTTTGGTTAAAAGATTCACCCCCTTACTTTTGCTCTAATAATAAAGGGGTGAAAAGGGGGCATCCTACAATCTGGAAAATGCAGCATCGTGATGGTTTCATTGAAGCAAAAATAAGATACTAATGAAGTTTCTTCAAGTACCCATTCAGGTACCACGCTGCCCAGTCTAATTTGACTATATATGGGCGCGTTGGCCGATGGCATGAGTAAATTACCGCGGGGCACACTCCACTTTCGGACATTCCAGACTCCCTGCACGAAACCCCACGGCTTCCTGTTTCCAACCGTGTCAAGTAAACGCTGCGACAAGAGCTGGCAGTGCATTTGTATACCCGACTCATCAGGCTGTAATAACAACAATATCAACATGAAATACAACGAGACATTAATGGCAGCCTGAAGGGGCACTGTACCTGGCCCTTGGTGGAACCGTGTTTACAAAGGGCCCACATTCAACTCATGTGAGACGCACGTGGCTCAGAGATCCCCACCGTTCAAAACAAGTGGTGCCTTTTTTTTGGGGGGGGGACGATCAAAAAGTCAATGCTGTCTCTGCGCGGTAAATATTTAAACGTGCGGTGAATTCGTACCTCATGGCTTCCATCTGAAAATCAATGTGGTTCAAAAGCGTCGTTTCGCTGAGCTTGAATTCAAACAGGCGGCTGATCTGGAAGATGAAAAGCAGGCAGCGAGTTACGTGCATGTCTAACGTGTCTGTCTAAATGTGTCCATGCCTTCACGCAAAACTCTGCTCTCAATTTTGTATTTGTCTGCGGTGCAGAAAAGCAACGATTAGACCGTTCAAAGCTTAACATTTGCAACCGGGTAAAATTCTATAATGCTTTTCTCCCAGGAGGAATGGTGTTTGATGTTGATAAAGTAACTTTAAATAAGTAGGCTCTTAACAGCAAGTAATAATAATAAAAATTTACAGTCGTTTGTCAGTGAATTGCTTGACGAAGGCTTCCCCTTGCCACATACGTCGTGGTTGTTACGTTACTCGATTTTACCACACTTGGTCATTTGGGTTCGTGGAGAAGGTGGGGTTCATAGCGCAGCGTGATAAACCATTGCACCACCACTCCCCCCAAAAGCAAATACTTTTTTTATAATTATACAGTGCGGCGAATTTTTGGCATCTATAACCAAGCATTGATTCAGCAATGAACGTTTCTTCGGAGGTTCGCAATATAAACTGGTAAGAAAAGGTTACTTTTGATTCATGTGTTGTGTGCAATTGGGTAATATAAGCCCTGCAGCCACGAAAATGTCAATAAAAATGGTAATTTGTTGAATTGAATCACAATCCAAATACGCTATAATCATGAGGGTGGCACTTCATTATATATTCAATATGACGGTTTAAACACACAATGTTAGTCAATAGGAAAATAAGAATAAAAAGCGTGACATGCTACGATTTTGTATGGTTTCATTGCATCCTTATAGACAATAACACTATTTAAAGTTTACATGAATCGATAGCCAGTAATGGAATTGTGGTAAAAAAAATGTAGTGTTTTAAATGTTTGCAGAACATTTGATAATGGAGTTTTAATAATGCTTTAAAACGCTGTGGTCACCTTTCCTGCAATGCCACGATCCTGGCTCCCTAGTAAATTAAGTCGATTTAATTTCATTGTAGCTTTGACTTGGTGCCTGCTTGTCATTGTTTTTTGGCTGGCGTGTCACCACCGTACCTTGGTGTTGGACTTGAACACCGGGTACCCCGCCTCGCACACTCGGCCCGTCGCGTGCGCCAACGAGTGGCAATTAATCTTCACCGCCTTCTCAGCCTGCCGCAGGGCAATGTGACAGCGCAAATTAGACTCGCCGGGGAATCCAAACGGCAGCGCTTTTACAAATCGGCTTTCGTGGCACTCGCAAACGATGAGGACGACGGCGACCAACAAAGGAGGCGAAGCAACAACATTCTGTGAACGCGCGGAAGTGAGAATTAATTGTGGTTGTGCGGGACCAATTTTGTCAAATCTCAGAAGCTAAGCAAATTTCAGCCTGGCTAGCAGTTGCATGGATTATCACCAGAGATTGCCAGGTGTTACAAGTGCATAGGACAGCAAGGTGGGCAGGAGATGGCGGTGCCGAGTGATGCCCCCTCTGAATTTGTGGTGGGTTTCCTTTCCAGGTACTCAGACTTTTGTCCCACATCAAGCAAAGCACTTATCAAGAAAGCATCGGCCAAACATCTGAATGCAGGACCCTCCTGAAAACAGTGGTCATCACCCTGTGAGTCGACCCCCTCCCCACTAAGCCTTTCAGAGGCGGTGCAGGCTGTGGAATGGATACCGTGGAGCAGAAATGTCATACGTGTGCAGGGAAAGTCTGTGGTGGCTCGACAAAACAAATGAATACGCAACAAGCAACAATGCCTCACAGACACCACACCTGCGGTGCGGTGGGGGTGCAGGGGTTGGGAGGGGGAGTGGAGGCTCAGGAGGTGGGGGGAGGGGGGGGAGCTTCACCTGGTCCATGACGTTGCTGAAGTGCAGGTTTGGGGAGAGCGACACGTTGAGTCGCGTGTTGTAGGCGTTCTCCAGCTTGTTGTGCAGCGTCACGTTGAGGAGCACGCGGTGCATGGTGCTGCTGATGAGGAACGGAGCGCTCCTGCGGGAGACGCGCACGGGACGGGGCTGTCACGTCCGAGGAGCGAGGCCCACGGCGGAGCGTGCGTGCGCGCGGTTCAGTTGGCTAAGCGCGTGCTTGGCGGTTGGATGTTCCGCCTTCCTCAACATCCAGGAGGCTTTGGAACCAAACCTCCGCTCAGGGCTTGCACCAGGGACTTCTTATTAAGCCTGTCCGTCGAAACATCCTGCGAGTGCAACCAAGCTTTGAGCGAGCACATTACACGTGCACAAGAAGCCCCAGTTAAAATGTTCTGCTTGTCATCAACGTCCCACTCCGGGGCATATTCGGTGTCTCGTACGAGTTGTATGTTACATGCACGTGTTCTCCAAATAAATTGACACTCGTATGCTTCTTTGCGATAGCAAGAGTGCAGGGTTCACAGCTGTTTATTTGTTGTTCAAATCAAGCCGCCACCCTGGTTAATACTGCAGGTGTAATAACAAAAATAATGCATGTCGTACGATTCACAGTGGTTGTTAGAGATCCGCCGATGGCGTTCGCAAAAGTAGGCTGTTGTGTGCTGGTTTCAGAATCCAAAATTTACCGAATTCCAAAACGACTGGCGGGTTATTCATTTGGGACTGTGCATGGCAATCACCGCCCCCTACTGGCAGGCGAATGGCTCCAGGTCACTCTCGCAAATGAGACTCTACACCGTGGCCTCTTGAGTGCTAGCCTGGTTAAATAAAACTACTTAAACTCAACTCAGAAACGTTATAGAAATCTAAGATTTCAGTGGGAGTGAGTAAGGCACGTCAACAAGAGTGAACTCACAATAGTGATTGCGGTGGAAGCGACAGCCTGGTTTAAGAAGCAGGTGGAGCCATGGCACATCGATTAGCGCACCGCACTACGAACCCGGAGACCACAAGTCTGATTCCCAGCCACGACTCACATCGGTGGCGAGTGATATGTCAAGGTGTTGAATGTCTCGATGTCTTCAATAACTCCCTTTTTAAACGACTGTATTACGTTGGTGGTCTGACATATTGAAAAAGTGACTTTTGGTCTCAATGGGAAATGTACTTTTGTACTCATACTTTCCCACTTCTTTGCTCCCCGCCTGCATCGACTTGCGCTAACCAGCGTGAAGTATTATCAAACAGCCCATGTGATCCGCACAGCGTGGAAAGGCACACATCTACCAGTGCGATGGCAGTACCGCGGTACGTTATGAAATGCTATGAATTTGCGCCTCACGTTGATCCGCTGGCATCAGTGTTAACGCTCAGCACCAGGTCTGTGATGCACTGGTCATCATCTCCGCAGTCCTTCTTGAACGGGATCTGAGGGGGGCAACACAAACACCATTCACGAGCGTGCACACCGCACAATGCCAGCGAGTATGAGAGGCGTGTGCACTGCATTCGTTCAACAAGACGATACAGTTATATTCCTGACCATGTATTCAACGTGTTTGGGCTTGAGCAGGTTTAGGACTGGTCCGGAATCTGGATCAGCCATGCGGAAATCCACGCGGACTCCCAGCGGTTTCACATAGTCCGATGCTTCCTGGGAAAGAGAGACGATGCAAGCACAACATGAGGATATAAATATTAGAGAAACGTCATCATCATCATCATATTCTTCTTCAACCACGATAATATCCCCCGCTGGATGAAGGCCTCCTAAAGTTGTAGCGTATCCCCCAATGGTCCTGCGACATGACGATCCAACGGAGCACCATGCACACGAGCTGACTGCATCGCTCCATGTCAGTGGTGGATGTCCTTTTGTGCCGGTTCCCTCCTTTAACTGCCACATTGTTATTAGTCTTTGCCACCGGCGATAATCCATTCCAGTGAAATGTTCGGCCCGAGCCAATTGACTTTTCTTAACAGTCAATATGATATCTGACTCCCCTCAGGTAAAATTAACTAAACACGAGGTTTAATGATAGGGGTTTTCTCCTTTTTCTCTGGCAACAAAACTGAAACCTTAGTACAAGGATTCATGTCTGCATTAACCACAATACTTGCAGTCAAAATGCAAACAAAAAACAAAATGGCGTCCTCTGGTCGAGCACCAATTGGGTCGAGGCTCAAAAGAAAGCCGTCCCTTGGTGTGCACCAATCAGTTTCAAAGACAATGCATATATTATCATAGTATGTTTTGCGTTTGCATTTTGACTGCAGGTATTGTGGTTAATGCAGACATGAATCCTTGTAATAAGGTTTCAGATTTGTTGCCAGAAAAAAGGGGAAAAACCCTATTATTATATTTTGGTACTGGCAAAGGAGGTCTAATGATGTAAACGAGACGTTAGTAAGAGATGCACGGTGTTTTTTGGCTGGGGTTGCGTTTTCCTCTGACAAGGCAGCGCATGCATGCGTGTTTTGCCTTCTGCTTTCAGGCCCAACCTCTTAAGAGCGCGGACGATACTCGCGAGGCGGAACAATTGTAAAAAAAAAAAATGCAAAAAAATGAACCCTGCATGGGTTGAGACTCACGAGCATGTAGATTTTAAAACGAGAGCACGTCTCCACGTTGTAGGGGAGGATCGCCTCCCGCAGCAGCCTGCGCTCGTCGTGCTTCTCAAAGAGCGCCCGCGGGGCCAGCCTGCTGGCGTCGATGGTCACGTTGTACACGACGGCTGCGCGGGATCCACGAGAACACAGCAACAGCAGCTCAAGTGAGTCAGGGATCCACGAGGACACAGCAACAGCAGCCCAAGTCAGTCAGGGATCCACGAGAACACAGCAACAGCAGCTCAAGTCAGTCAGGGATCCACGAGGACACAGCAACAGCAGCCCAAGTCAGTCAGGGATCCACGAGAACACAGCAACAGCAGCTCAAGTGAGTCAGGGATCCACGAGAACACAGCAACAGCAGCTCAAGTGAGTCAGGGATCCACGAGGACACAGCAGCACAGCTCAAGTCAGTCAGGGATCCACGAGGACACAGCAGCACAGCCCAAGTCAGTCAGGGAGCCACGAGGACCCAGCACAGCTCAAGTCAGTCAGGGATCCACGAGAACACAGCAACAGCAGCTCAAGTGAGTCAGGGATCCACGAGGACACAGCAGCACAGCTCAAGTCAGTCAGGGATCCACGAGGACACAGCAGCACAGCCCAAGTCAGTCAGGGAGCCACGAGGACCCAGCACAGCTCAAGTCAGTCAGGGATCCACGAGAACACAGCAACAGCAGCTCAAGTGAGTCAGGGATCCACGAGGACACAGCAACAGCAGCTCAAGTGAGTCAGGGATCCACGAGGACACAGCAACAGCAGCCCAAGTGAGTCAGGGATCCACGAGAACACAGCAGCACAGCTCAAGTCAGTCAGGGATCCACAAGAACACAGCAGCACAGCTCAAGTCAGTCAGGGATCCACGAGAACACAGCAACAGCAGCTCAAGTGAGTCAGGGATCCACGAGGACACAGCAACAGCAGCTCAAGTGAGTCAGGGATCCACGAGGACACAGCAACAGCAGCCCAAGTGAGTCAGGGAACCACGAGGACACAGCAGCACAGCTCAAGTCAGTCAGGGGTCCACGAGGACACAGCAGCACAGCTCAAGTCAGTCAGGGATCCACGAGAACACAGCAACAGCAGCTCAAGTGAGTCAGGGATCCACGAGGACACAGCAACAGCAGCTCAAGTGAGTCAGGGATCCACGAGGACACAGCAACAGCAGCCCAAGTGAGTCAGGGATCCACGAGGACACAGCAGCAGCAGCTCAAGTGAGTCAGGGAACCACGAGGACACAGCAGCAGCAGCAGCTCAAGTGAGTCAGGGATCCACAAGAACACAGCAGCACAGCTCAAGTCAGTCAGGGATCCACGAGGACACAGCAACAGCAGCTCAAGTGAGTCAGGGATCCACGAGGACACAGCAACAGCACAGCCCAAGTCAGTCAGGGATCCACGAGGACACAGCAGCAGCACAGCTCAAGTCAGTCAGGGATCCACGAGAACACAGCAGCAGCACAGCTCAAGTCAGTCAGGGATCCACGAGGACACAGCAGCAGCACAGCTCAAGTCAGTTATGCTGCCAGTATTTTTAAGCGTGTTCTGCAGGAACGCCAAGGTATGGTGTCATACGCAGTGCACGTACCGATGTTAGATTTACTCAAGGGGCCGTCTATAAATGACGTCACGCGATTTTGGAAGATTTTTTTACCCCCCCCCCCCCCCCGGTCACACGGCGTCACAAAAAGTCAGACCCCTCCCCCCTCAAATATGACGTCACAAAGCTCTGCACCCCCCCCCCCAACCATATTTCCATTTTTAAAATAAAACATGCTTCGAATCGCTTTAAACTATTGTCATTTGTAGTGCGTATTTAATGTGGCGCTGCACTCTGATGTTGTAGGAGTGTTGTTATAACAATTCTATATTTATTGAAAGTTGCGCATTTTTATTTGACGTCATATTTCTCAAACTCCCCCCCCCCTCGTCACACATCGTCACAAATGTCTGACCCCCCCCCCCCCCCCCCAGGCACGTGACGTCATTTATGGACGGCCCCCAATTCAAATTGCTCACGTGCGATTACTACGTGTAGTGTTCATGTTCCCCTAGTAATACTCATTTGCAGGCCAGGTGCGGCACAGGGACAGCTGCCACTGGGGGTATCCTTTCAAATGTTTGAGATGAGATTGTGATGTAAAGCACTGTGAGATGCCCTGGTGTATGGGATTAATTAACACCATAATTAGAGCGGACATTTCAACTTGGGATTTGGTTCACAGTAGAACGTGCATTTATAACAGTTTTGATTTAGCACCTATGTTTTGATTCATGGCCCGATTCACATTCTGGCGAAAGTTATACTTCATCCATTTTGGTGAAAACGAGACCCGCACATCAAGGCAACGAACAGGCAGAGCGAGCATATTTATTTTATACAGAGAGAGAGGCTGTCAGTTATAGGCAGAGGACACGTGGAAGTTTTGAGCCTGGACTTGACCAGGGAGTGAACAGCACAGAGGGGTGGGGGAAAGGAGTTACAGGAAATGGGGCAGCAAAGAAGGGCATGTGACCTCCCACGAGCGACAATTGAATGGGGGCTTCGAACGATTGGCTTCCGTGTGCCAAGGTCTCGATTTCCAACAGGAGAGAAAATTGCCAAGGCAATGTTTTTCAGCCCAATCGCCAAAAGACGCAAGTCTGGCTCTCAACATTCCAACTGCAGCAGCGATGGGTGGTGGGGGGGAGGGCGATGCACGTGCCAGGTCATGGGGAGGCTCACCGACGTGCTGGGCCTCCGGCTTGGGAGCACTGGTGCGTGCAGTGAGGCACACCGAGGACTCCACGCAGAAGGTGCTACGCCCGCGCGCCTCGCACGTGAAGCTCCAGATGTCGATCTCACCCGGGTCAAAGTGCGTCGCCACCTCCACCTCCACGATCCCGCGCGACCTGCGAGCCGACAGCCACGCCGGCACAATCTCACAAAATAAATGTGTTGATGTATACAGATAGTCCCCGAGTTACGATGGTCCGACTTAACATATTTTTTTACTTACGATGGGGTCGTCGTAACGCATCTCCATCGTAAGTAGAGGACTACCTGTAGATCACTTTCCCAAAGAATCGATCCCGATTGTGCTCTCGGAGTCGCGTTATGAGACGAAGAAGACTCCACTCGGATCTCTCACGGAGGATTTTTACGCGGGTGTTTCTGTAGAGAGTAACTATTTCATTCTGTATTGGCACCAATAGATTATGCCATCAAAGCGAATAGAGTACTGACTGTATTCTGATTGAGATTGCAATCAGTTATTTGTGGAGGCTGAAAGCGATGGGAGTTTCACACCCTGCCCGGTCCGCATAACATGGCACCTTTATTATTGTCTCCTTCATTTTCTCAAAAATAAAAACCTAAAAAACAAATTCATACAAAAATGTTTGCTGGATCAAATTGTAGGCTCTGAGACCAAACGCTAGACAATCCTGCATCTTCGAAAGCTTTGGTTTGAAACATCTGTGGAACAGAGTAAAAATGTAAAGAGAATTGTCCATTGAATCCATGGGGGACAGCAATACAATGTCTTGGAGTAAGCCGTCTTGTAATTGCTCGGCTCCAACAGGAGGAACTGGCAGACGGTCCACACATGACGTCTGGCCACCTTAGCCCAGACACGGAAGTTGTACGGCTCTGGCTGAGACACGTGTTCTCCGCAGCGATGTTCAATCGCGGGCGCATATGCCGGTGACAGCCCGGAAAACTGCTGAGCGCCGCTCGACTGCATTCCAGCATCAATCGCGGATCGAATTACTCCGTCCCAGGTGCCGGCCGGTCCGTCGCAGGTTTCACCTCGGTTGTAAATTAGGCTCCCTCTGTTCGACTCTTTGTTGGGATGAGATCGTCGCATGGAGTGCGCTTTGTGTCGACACGTCATTGCTATTGAGGACCACCGTGATGAGGCTTAGAAGGTAGATACAGCCCAATTGGACAAACAGGTCTCGTGAAGTCGTACATGCAATAAAATTGTGCACGTAACAATTGTTCAGTTTTCTTTTCGTATGTCGTGGACAGATTCACACCGACAGAAAGAGGCACACATGGAGCAGAGAACACATGCAAGTTAAATTTTGATTTAAAGCTTTCGTGACTGCAGTAATTCATATTCTTAGCTCCTTCGGTAAAGTCACGTTGAAGGGAAACAATAAAATAATAAAATATATATAAAACAATAAAAATTCTCACGACGTTTTGACCATAACACAAACGGTCGTCATGGTCGAAACGTCGTGAGAATTTTTATTGTTTTATATATATTTTATTGTTTCCCTTCAACGTGATTTTACCGAAAGAGCTAAGAATATACATGCAAGTTAGTCACATTGTATTGACTGAATGAAATTAAGGAGGCTACAGCAGGATTGACCAGTGATCAAGACTAATGAAAGAATGACACCCAAGGGATGGAACGTGCCCAACACGTGTTTGAGATGGAGCGATGTTTGTTGTATCGCAAGACTGCGAGAGGTGGCGGCAGCTTGGACAGCTCTTAATCCTGCTGTGGATAGATCATGGCCGCTCATTGCGACACCTTGGGTTCATGTGATCCTTGCTGCCACGAGAGGCCAATATTCTCACCGCAACCCGAAATCAAAGAACCAGTGAAAATTCGTCGAACCATTTCAAAGCTTACAACAGCAGGCCTAGAAATCGAGAGCAGTAAACCGCTCGGAAATGAGCGTCTTGGTGGAGAAGAGGCCACAAAAGTGGAGAGGGGATGCAGAGACGGGGAGAGAAGAAGCAAGGGGGGAAGGGGGGGGGGGGGGGGGGACGGGTTAAAAGGAACGAGAGGCATGAAGAGGGGGAGAGAAGGAGTGTGGTGAGGTCGGGACGGTAGGAGAAGCAGCGAGTTCGGAGCAGGTGGCCCGATCCTCACCATATCACGACGGCGGCGCCCAGCGAGCCCACCGCCACGTCGGCGATCTCGTTGCCGTCCACGTCCAGCTGCGCGTGTAGCGAGCGCCCGAAGAGGAGCAGCCCGTGCCCGAGCTGGCTCGCCGCGACTCGCTGCCGGCGCGCGCGGGAGAGAGACACAGCGATGAGCAGCACGGCTCCCGACGCGGCGGGCACACGAGAGACAAAGCCGGCAGCGGCGCAGTCACCCACCCGCTTGCACCCGTCCGTAAGCCTTTGCGCCCCCGTGAGCGGTCGGGAGTCAGATCCGTGGCGCGCCTATTGAGTGTGAAGGTGTTGCGACTGCAGCACCTCGGGGTCCATGGGTCAGAAGGACCCAGGCTCAGAAGAAAGGGGCAACTCTGCATGGGTGGTGGTGGTGGGGGGTGGGGGGTGGGGGGTACATTTCGTTCCGCGCACCAGGGCCCATTTTAAACCATGTTACACCCCCTTTTTTTTCTCTTCACCTGATGACGAGCGCTTGTGTTGCGATCGAAACGTCGAGAGTTTTTTTTTATATCTTCATATCTTTATTATTTTCATTTTTTTATTTTATTTTCTGTCTACGTAACTTCACCGAAATAACCATAGAATAAGAACATGCCACACCACTGAAAGAGTTCACGGTAGGGAGGGGGGTGGGCAGGGGGGTGGGGATGAGGAGGTGGGGGGGGGGCAGCACCTGCACGTGGGTGGTGCGCAGGGAGCGGCCGTGGCCCTGGAACAGGTAGACGGCGCCCTGGCGCTCGTCCTCAAGCGGAGCCCCCACCGCCAGCTCCCCCCAGCCGTCCTGGTTGAGGTCGGGGACGGCGGCCAGAGCCGAGCCGAAGCGCGAGTCCTGGCTCTCGGCCGGCGAGAGGTGAGCGCTCCACTCCAGCACACCCTGCGAACGTACGCACACACACACACGCACACATGGACAAAGACCTCCCGTATAGGGTTGACAGATTATTGGGGCAAGTGGTGTTAGCGAGCACCTATGAAGGCCGGCATGGCACCTGAGGGGGGTGGGTGGCCAGCACCATCCCCTACTGCCTTTGTCTCTCCAGTGGCAATGTTCACACATCTCACCAGGTACTCATTTAAGGCTGAGTCAACCGAGGGGAGGCCCGGTACCGGTTTCAGATAATCGTCACTGGTGTTGGCCATGAGCGGGAATCCAACTCAGACACACATGCACACAGAGTGACTTTGTGCCAATGCACTTCCCTGGCATATCCAGGATTTGGTGGAAAGTGTGAGGATTGAGTGCACATGGGAGCTGAACTTGGCCTTCAACCACTCTCGGGATACATCTGTAACGTCCCTGTTAAGAGTATTCTTCCCAAGGCAACCATACCAACATTTTCCATTCTCAGAGCTGGAATATACCTAAAAATGTAAAACGATGGGTTTCTTTGATCCGTCGTCAGTCGCCGGGTTGAGAGTACAAACTCAGGGCTCTTGAGAGCCCGGATTAATGGCAGACAGCTGAAACCCGAATTAAAATCCAGGAACCCAGCCGTGCCGGCTCGATGACCCCTAAAGCCTCCCGGACACCTTCCGTAGGTCGTCTGTCTGTAGCGCCGGGGTCACGGCGGGGCACACCTGGGGGCTGAACGTGTAGAGGTAGACGCGGCCCGTCTCTCTGCTTGACGAGTCCATGAACATGGGGGCGGCCACGAGCAGCACGTCCGACACCGAGTCCCCGTCCACGTCCATGGCGCACACCTCCCCGCCAAAGTACGAGCCGATCTGTGGGTCACGGCAACGCGGCGCCCGGTGATCGGTGACCGGTACCGCTCCCCGGATAACGCTCGCGCCGGAACGCCGGCGCATTCGTCATCCAGAAACAAAACAAAAACCCCCCTCGAGAAAATAAACGAACGAGGCGCGCAGCTTGAAAGTCCATTCATCAACGGGCTTCAAGCTGCGCAGCACAAGACGGACGGCGGTTTCGCGTTACGCACATCTGCTCGTGTCCGGGCACGGCGGTGATGCAATCTCGCTTCCTCCTGACCTGCTCCCCGGAGAGCGTCTTGAGCACGCTGACTTTAGAGTTGTGGTCCTGCGTGAAGACGACAGTTCGGCCCGTGTGGTTGAAGCGCGGTGCCCCGGCCACCAGGATCGTGGAGCCGTTCTCCGTCCTCGCCGACGTCAGCGAGTAGCCTGCGGTGAGCACGGTGCCGGGTAGTGTTCATTGTGCAGGTATCAGGCGCAAGCCCTTTTGTCGATACGCTGCTTGATGAGCGGCTGTACACACCGTGCAGGTCATTTCACCTGACTGCAGCACGCATTTAAGTAATGGGTATTGCTGAGGTGCCCTCTGCTGCCCACGAATGTGGCCGAGCAGCAGCCTGTCGTGCATGGCCAGTGGCCCATGATCAGAACACGAACAAGGCTATCCATGGGACCTGTTTCCCAGTATAAAAATGATGAAAATAAGAATATTTTTTCATCATCACAAGGCAGCAGACATCTGCGCTGCTCGCAGCTGACATCGCGGCTCTCGCGATTTTCACCTGAAGACGAACGCTTGTGTTGCGTTCGAAACGTCGTGATCAATTTTGTTTTATTTCTATCTACGCGACTTTACCGAAAGAACCAAAGAGTATGGATTCCTGCAGTCACGAAAACTTCAAATCACGATAGGAATAGGCATTACCCTTTCTAGCAATAAAACAGGTGTCAAGATGTTCAGGTCCCATAGCTATAACTACTCAACCCGAGCTATTGATCATTTGCCTTTGTACTGTTCGCCTTTTGGCATTCTCTGGTCTGATAGTGGTGAGACAAGGCCATGAACACGGCTGTCTATGATGTAGGCCAGTCAGTATACAAAGCAATGCATATATTATCAGCGCATGTTTGCATGTTTTGCCACAACTTGCGTGTGGTTAATGCAGACTTGATGCCTTGCAATAGGCATTGATTTGGTGTTTGAAAATCGTAACGCCTGTTTTATTGACCAGAATGGGTAAAGCCTATTCTTACTAACGACGCTAAAGCCTGCTCAGCTTCTGATTTTCTGACGAGATCAGGTTCACTCCTGGTGATTTGATCAGAGGCTGTTTGGTCATTAAATTGCTGTTAAAAGAGTGTCAAACTATTCGGGCTCCGAGGTGGCCACAGGGCTCAGGAGTCAGGGGCGTGAGGCTGCACCGTTGCGTGCGCTTTTGCCACCCTGGAATAAAACCGTTCCTCAATTGTAGTCAATGAATATGCTTGGTTAAGTTACAAAAAATATATATTGCATTTTGTGTTTTCACTTAATTTGGTCAAATGTCAGCTCTGGGTTTGACTGTCATAAAACAAACACTCTTGCAGGGCTTATTACCATTAATAAATAGGCCAATTGAAGTGACCTCATATGTACTTCTGTGACGCCATCCTCCAGGGCCATTTTCTGACACAGGGTGATGCACTGGTAGCTGCAGAGTTCCAAATCAAAGTTTCTTTGTCTCGTGATTATAGACAATATTACGGGCGAAGTTGTAGCCCTCCAATTGATTTCTCACGTCACTGCTGGCAGACAAGGCTCCACTAGAAGTAGCTGCAGAGAGCCCCGCTAGAGGGTGCTTTGGCCTACTCTTCCACTGCTAGACATGTTGGAAGAGGTGGGAGTACCCACACTTTGCCCCATGCCTCCGCTTAGCACGGTTGGCTACGTACGGTGCGAAAGGCGTTCGACGCGCACGCAACACAACACGACCTGCCAATCAGCTCGCCCGCATTAGACTGTGATTGGTGGGGGAGGGGGGGATACAACGATGAATATACAAAGCGCAGCTCATGCAAGAGGCACGGACCAAGGTAGGCGGCGTGGCTTCGCAGCTCAGAGGGCAGCGCCGACTCGAAGGCGTGCTTCCCCGGCAGGGACACCTCGTCTCCCACGCGCCGCACGATGGTTCCCATCCACTCGTACGCGCCCACCGCTCCCAGCATCAGGGCGCCCTGGCACGCAACACGCGCGCACACACGCACACACGCACACGGACGCACACGGCCCGACAAAACGCCACACACGCAAGCACACGCACGCAGGCATCAAAGATAAAGAACCCCCCCGTATAGCCTTAACAGGCTCTTGGAGCAAGTGCTGTGAACAAGCACCGATGAAGGGGGGTATGGTACACAAGGGGGTTTGTGGCTAGTGCCACGCCCAGCCACCTTTGTCTCCCTAGTGGCGATGTCTACATATCACACTTATTTGAGGCTGAGTCGACCTAGGGGAGCCCCAGGAACGGTTCAGATAATCGTCACTGGTGTTGTCTGCGATCGGGAATTGAACCCGTGTCGCCCGGTTTGTAGCGCAGCGCGCACACATGCAGGTGTACACGCACGTACACATACACACACACATGCAAGTATGAACACACACGCAGCCAAAGGCAGAGCCTCAGTAATCAGGAGCAGGTCCATCGGGAATAGTGTAACGGTGCTGCGTGGAATGGAAACGATGAAACCCGGTGGCAACTTTCATTGCTGCTGCTGCATTAAACTTAGCTTGGGGTGAACGGAGCTGCTGCTGTAATAGCAGCATGGGTGATGTTTTATTTTATTTTACTGCAGAGGTCTCCTTGGTATTCATTACCACTCTGGACACAGCCAGCACACAAAAATGGTACCGGCAATGATATTAATTTGTTTACGTGATGGCGTCACCTCTAAAATACTGTTGACGAAGTCAAGGGCAAACCATCCCAACCATCATCTTCCAGTTAGGACTCAAAAACCCCGAGTGCAGAGTGTGGTGTTAACAACGCAAAGAGGGGAGAGAGATCGAATTGGATGGATGGAAATATTCATATTTTTTTGCGTGTTGAGCAACGTCATTTTCTTGAACCCTCCATGTCATATTTACAGAGTTATTATTTATACCGTGCCAATATATTGACCAAATTCTCACCAATAAATCTCGCACTCACCGCTGGCTGAATGATATTCACGTTTAAATTTAACACCAACATACGACAATTTGCTCCAACTGCTTTGAGCTTCTCCTTTAAGCTGACTCTGTGCTTTTGAAAAAAAAAGCTGTCAGCTGATGCAACCCACTCGATACAATGGAACGTATATATAATAGCACATTATTTTTACAATCTTGTTGTGTGGTGGAGGGTTAATGACAAGGACTTTAAAACTACGTGGCTTAAAACAACAATGTGGCCTTACCCAAGAATAAATATTGATCACGGTATTGGCTTGGAAAACGTTTCAAGGGATGGATGGAGCTTGAGCTATTGGCCCTGTCCTTGGGCAGAGGACTTAAGAAGAAGGGAGGTTACGTGTGTGTGGTGTGTGCAACTCACTGCTGTAGATAAACCGTGCCCCGGCGGCAACAACAACAAAAGCAGCCTATTCATACAAACACAAACTTCCCCAACGCTGTGCAGTGTGCACACGGTGACAAAAGTGCAGTAAGATTTGACCGCACACGAGCCCGTTGGCGATGATGAGAACGGCTGCAACACAAAGCCGCGGAATCGGCTCGTGCCAAAGCAGCAACATCGGCAACGAAAGGGGCAGCGGTGAAGAGTCGCTGAAGCGGGCCAGCCGTGGCACGTGGCCATCACACGGGACGGCCTGTTTAGCGGCGAGACACAACAACGCTCAGCCTCGTTGATGTCCCTGCATTTTAAAAGGGGGAAGGATTGAAAAAAAAAATCCTTCCAGCCTCTGAAGATACATGAGAGGAGGGAGATTTTTAGAAGCCGCTGCTTCTACGCTTTTGTCATCGACTATGATAAGTAACTTTGCCCCGCTTGGAATGCGGGAGTTTTGTTCCTCTCTCTCTCTCTGTTCCGTGCGTGGGCGGTCGAACGCTTCGCGAGCATTTGCGTTCGTTACCCCGACATAGTGAGCGGAGAATCCAGCCTGAGACAATTCCAGGTCAAACGAAGTCTCGTTCTTTTCCCTTGTGCCTGCAAAAACAGCAGTGAAACAAGTCGGGAGGGGTGGGTGGCGGGGGGGGGAGCAGGTGACGGGGTGAAATCACTGCGAGTGATTATGTAACGCTGTCCCATGTTGAATTTGTCTTCGAGAATATTTGATTGGCAGCACGGAAAGCTAACGGGTAGCTGTCAGGGAAAGGTGCGTTTTGATATTGGAGAATACATAATAATCAATTTGCTCTGGACTGCATCTTCCAAATAGTGAGCAACCATTTGATAAATTCGGTAAGTTTTCAAAATGGCATATTCCTAATATCAATAAAACCTTCGAATAAAGTTTTGTTATTATATGATCACCTTTACGAGAGTTATCGTGCCCAGATCCATTACAGACATATGGGCAGCCAGAGCTAATACGTAAAAACGTTTAACCTCAGTTGGAAAGAGTGCAATGATCATGAGGGGATAGAAGATTACTTGAGATGGAATCTTAATAGAGCTGGACTTGTCGAGATAACGCTTTTAGCATGTATGTGGCAGTGGCACAAATACCCGTATGATACCAGAAACTTGGGCTTGATTCACAATCATGGATAACATCAGTGTGGCAAGTTGTATCTTCAACCTGTCCTGGCCCTACCTTTGGTCAGCTTGGCCTTCAATTAGTACCTGGTGCAGTGTGTAAATCATTACCCACTTTCGGAAACAAATATGGCAAGTCAAGGTGCTGGTCACACCATACCCTCATGCAAGTATCGGAGAATATTTGTTATCCCAGGAATTAATATTTGTTTCTAATCGGAACCAGTATTTGGGAATATATTGGTTCCCCTTCAGAATATTTATACCCAATTGTTTTTTTTTTGTAACAGAGTAACCCAACCCATATGCTGAATGAGGGCCTCCCCATGCCACGGGGGTCGTGAGGGTTGTTTGACCAAACATCACCACACTGGTAAGTGTGGGTTGACGAAGGTGGACAGGATAAATGTGGGAGTATAGAAGTATAGTAACAACATATATATTTTGTCTACACTGCCTTGCTGCCATCTTCAATGCCTGATATCATGTAGCCCCAACTGCAAGCCTGCAACGCCTGCAACGCCTGCTACGCCTGCTACGCCTGCAACGCCTGCTACGCCTGCTATGCCTGTTGGTCGCCCATCCAACCACTACCCGGGCTCAAACCTGCTTAGCTTCCTCTCTCTGACAAGATTGAGTGCATGCCATGTGATTTGTCCATAGGCTACACAAGATTAAAACCACCCTTAATAGGTGCTTGGTAAGAGCACTTGCCCAGCAGCCTATAAGGCTCTACATCGTTGTTGTATGTGTGCGTGTTTGCGTGTGCATAAGCAAACCCTAACTTCAAAACTGCCACACCGCCTGGCCAAAACCCCTGCGTCCACGAATACCTTTTGACGGTTTACGCACGGCGATAAATAAAACGTGACGTCAGGAATAAATGTTTGTGAGACTGCAAGCGAGCGCCGGGCTAAAGCGAGACATGTTTACATTTCTCCGTGCCTCTATCCATGTATGGTCGCTACGTAAAAGCAGTGGAGGGGTGGGAGGGGGGGGATCTGGGTGGCCAGGAAGACTTCCAAGTGGAGGCAGCAGAAGGACCCTGACCTGAGAGAACACTTTACCGGCAAGCACGTGCTTGGCTCGTCACCTGCACGTGGGATTTTAGCAAATAAGCATGAGAGTGCTTCCAATAAATCACAAGGGGGGACAGCCTATGGTCTCTAGTAGCCTAGAACAAACATAGATCAGTGTTAGCATTGCTGTGTAATTGCCCGCTATTAAAAACATATATTTTTGGAAGCCGCATAATTCATTGTAAATATTTACACCCCAGAAGACGGGGAGAGGTCGCCGTTTGAGAGATCGCCACGTGTGCCGGGGTTATCGTTGTTACCGATCGCCAGCACCACACAGTTGTTGTCTTTGCCTCCGTCCGTCTGTGGCCACATTCACGTGTTGATGCAATGGGCAGAACACACTACATTGCCAACACACGATACTACATGGAGAGCGATATTACGTGAGATTCTCCAAGCTATGGTTTCCCATAGTGCCTCGTGGTAATTGTGCCTTTTGCAGGCAGTGTAAAATGTGGTGCGTTCCAGTGGTTCAAGGTCCAGTTGACTGAGCGGTCATCTCCGAGTTCCTGGGTTCAAATTCAGGGCGCGCGGCGAGAAAGTGAGAGAGCGCGTTTCGCGCACCCTCGAGGCTGAAGATGCGTTCCCCGAGTGTGCCGACGATGTCGATGAGGGTGGCCTCGCTCGTCACGTTGAAGAAGTGCCTCTCCACGGGGTGGCTGGCGATGGAACGCACCTCGTTAATCAGCCGAGCCACGTCATCCGCATTGGAGCTGTACGAGCGTAGCACCTGTGATGACGACGTCGTCAACATCATCATCGTCGTCGTCGTCTTCCTCATCAGCATCATCATCGTTACAAATGGTTACCAACACTGGGGGCAGCAAGCAATGGCGCAGTGGTGAGCACAACTCTGCTATGAACCCGGCGAACTGAGTTTGATCAATGCCCACGACTAAGGACAGCGGTGAGTGATATCGTCACTGGTCCTGGCCTTCCCCCCCCCCCCCCTGCACAAACCCGCATTGACCAGCGTGGTGTAGTATGGCCCCACAACACCCTTGATGCAGCAGGTGTTTAAAATAGGGTCGTGAATTAGCCTTTTAAAAAATCAACATATGTATGTCAATATGGATGGTTTAAATGAGCGTTCTTCACTCATTTTCAGAGGGGGGACACTTTTTGCCGATAAGACATCACCATTTGAAACCAATGGGTTGAACAGCACGATGGGGTTTTTCACTTTCGTGAACTATCGGGGGCCGCACGTCAGGGGCCACGCTAAAGGCCACCAGGGGCTGTCAGTGGCCCGCGGGCCTTGCAATGAAGAACACTGATTTAAATCTATGTTGCCAGTTCTTAGACAATTGTAAATTCTACATCCCATGCTGGGGGTCAATATGTCCATAGGGCAACTACTGTTGATGTCCCAAAAGGTGATAGCAATTTTATTGTCCATGGATTGATGGTCGGATTAATAGACACCCCCTGTCTATAGTTTGAACTCCAAGGGCTTCTGATTGTGAGGCCACAGCCCTACCCCAGCCCTGTCCAATGATTAAGAACATTATAATTGGTCAAAATACGTGAGTTAAGGTATATTCACCTTGTTGTACCATTTATTTATCGAGAAGTATCCTGCATGGGGGTGTTTGGATAAAATCTAAATTGAAAACTCACTCCTTCAGAACTGCATTTTGTGCTTAGTTTGCTGTCCTTCCCCCGCGCCTCCGATTAGCACGGTTGGCTACGTACGGTGCAAAAGCAAGTTCAACATACATTACGTGCGCGCACAATGCCATTAAAGATTGACCACCGTGAGCCGTGAGTCTGAGGAAAAAGAAAAACCCCGAGCGACAGTGATCGCCCTGGGGAGTCGCTGCACATCGGTGCTGGGTGAGCGGGCACCGTACGGCGATGGCGTATCGCGTGATGCCGTCCCTCTCGCACTGATCGATGACCTCGGGCAGCAAGTATTTGTCGTGCGACTCGCCGTCCGTCACCACGATCATCACCTTCTGGGCGTCGGGACGTGCACCCCGCTCCGGAGAGAACGCCTCCGACCTTGAAGGTTGGAAGGGAGACAGGCGTTATGGTGTGTCGTGAGCTCGTAGATCAGCCGATGCCTTCACCCGCTGTTGCGCTCTTTGTGAGGAGCGGGTGGGGGGGTTGTGGCAGTCGTGTGGTCGTTTCAATTATTTGTTGTTTCGTGTCAAATGTTTATATGTACACACACACCCGTGTTGTCGCGCCTGCATCACGATTAGGTGTCGTGCTTTTTAAGTTAAATGGTTATTTTGTTTATTAATTTATTGATTGAATACGTAAACGTTCAGGTCATTACCGCGCTCCATGCCCCACCTCCTCCACAAAACGTTAAATAAACGTTCGTTGGTGTTATAATTGAACACGCAATCTTACGAGGTGATCGTCTTAGCCTGGTTGCAACCCCCGCCCTACCAAATCATATTACAATACATGCACAATAACTATACGAATGATAATTATTAACCATGAAAAGCCTTGTCGAGTCCCAAAACTCGTATTCAAGGTGGGGGCTGCTACTTTGAGATGTTTCACCTCTCCCATGAATGAAAGTTTGGCTTCACATCAGAGGAAACCGGAGACACCAGAGACACCCCCCACCGTTCATACAGGGGGGTGTCACTCAGCACTGCCATTTCCTGGCCACCTCACACACCTACAACAGCTGTAAAGGCCTTTGTGGTCACCCATACAAGCACTAACCAGGCTCTGGCATGCTTAGCTTCTGAAACTTCTGAGATCCGATGAGATTGGGTGCATTTCAGGCAATAGTTGTTGTCTGACATTAAATTAATTTTGTCATGTGGTCAATCTTATTCCAACTTTGAGAGTCAGAAATTTGAACATTCTTGTCGGACATATATCGTTCATTCTCTCGGGATTAGCCCCTTCATTTGATGTAAGCTTCAGAAGTAGCTACGTGACTTTTTCATCTTTCGTATCTGATCTCTTGACACCAGGTGGTGCACTACTCACTGCCGGAGTGCCGAATGTAAATGTGCTCAGCTCTTGATACGATGGATAAGGCACGATCGACACGTACGTAACATTTTGACAAAGCACGGAGCACGCTATGCCGTGCGGAGAAATCTGGCACCTCGATTTCCGCACGTGCACATGACTGCAATGGCCCAGATGGTCGAGAGACCTCCATTGTGACGTGCACCAATAAAAAGTGAGCACAGAGCGGGCCCCTTCCCGTTGCATTTCCCCACGGAGCGCAGTGACCACCCTTCCCATTCGATGGCCTGTTTCCCCAAGAGTGCTACAACCACCGCAAGCAATGAAAGCATCTGTGTTCTCTGCTTTCACTTAACTACTTGCGAACGGCAACTGGCCAACCACCCACAGGCCCACGGGGTCTGTGATCGTGAGCAACCGCGGCCCCGGCCTGACATCGTGGCTCATGAACTGCCTCACCGTGAGGCTAAGGATGTGCACGTCGAGTGGCTCTAGACTTAAAACGCCTCAAAGACTCTCAATCAAGCCCAATGCCCTACTGCAGGATAGCCTCGGGGTAGCCCATGTGGCAGCTGGCCCTATGCGGCACAAGGTATACGTAGCACCAGCCTGCAAACGGACATTAGTCTGCCACTGTGCCACCTTACATTGCTATGAATAGCATATAGAGTGTGTGCGCTTATTTGTAGTTTATTTGTAAGGTGTTTAATGATTCGCACCGACAGTGATTTTAAGAAGTGTAACATTTCACGGTCACAGTACAACATAAATCCTCAATAATGAGCATGACGAGATGGAGCCAAAATTACAACCGATTGTTTTATTCCCTCGTTGTTGCCATCTCGGTCGAATTATGCATTCGCGTCGTGGGAGGAGTGAAACGTTGTCATTTATGAACCAGTGCTGCAGTTGCGCTCGAGTTGTTGCAAGCGAGTGAGCTGGGCGAGGGAGCGCAACGCCGTTCGCCCACGTTGCTCCATCACGAACCGAATCCCGGCGCCCGCAACCCCGGCGGAGTGCCGACAAATGCCTGCGGCGCCATCGCCTCGCGGTCACCGCCACCACGCCTCTCCCACGGCGTCACAAAAAGTCAGAGCCCCCCCCCCCCTCAAATATGACGTCACAAAGCTCTGTCCCCCCCCCCCAAAAAACACATGCTTCAAACCGCTTTAAACTATTGTCATTGCAGTGCGTACTAAATGTAGCGCTGCACTCTGATGTTGTAGGAGAAAACATTTATTAAAAGTCAATTTAATTAAGTAGAACGCGTTGTCCATATTTATTTAAAGTTGCGCATTTTAATGTGATGTCACATTTCTCAAACCCCGCCCCCCTCCTCCTCGTTACACATCGTCACAAATGTCTGACCCCACCCCTCCCTCCTAGGTGCGTGACGTCATTTATGGACGGCCTCTTACCGCGCCGTGAAGACGCCCTTCGCCGTGTGCGTCTCGTTCCCGCGCAGCTGCCGCACGCGCCGTGCCGCGTCCACCGCTTCCTCGGTCGAGCGGAAGTCGCCCAGGTCGAACTCGTGGGTCGCCACCTCCCCGTACTGCACGATGCCCACCTGCGGTGGCGGCGTGGCCACGTTCAGTGAGGGGGCGCTCCTGCTGTGCGCTTGTGTCTAATTGGTGTGTGGCCTGGGACCGTTTTGTTGTCGCTTTCGCTGCATTGCACAATCTTGATGAATCGGACTCGTGCAATTAATGTGTTTATTGTTTTACGATATATTTAGTGACCTGCTGACTCTTTTCGCTATTTTGCACTCCTATCGGGTTTGTTTTGTATCGTTTGCTGTTGGAGCTCGCTCACCCGCCCGCACTCCACATCATCTTCATAGCTCATCGGATGTCTCCAGTCTCGATAAATATTCTGATTCTGATTCTAAACCGCTGACAAACACGGACACAGCCCACAACACAAATACGTAGCGTTTGTCTTGTGGATTTTTTGCGTGTTCTGGGCTGTCCGACGTGAGTTTAAAGCTTCAATGATGACAAGAAGAAAAAGAGACTGAAATTTTAACAGTACACCAGAATGGTTTTCAAAAGTTCTGAAGACACGTCACGCCATCAGATACATTAAAACGTACGGGAGCCATGCTCCGTTTGATGTGAGACCACAAGTGTTCTCCTGGCGCTGATTTTAAAGGGTTTTTTTCACGAACGAAGATTCCATCTTGTGTCAGGCAGCACAGAGACGAGATCTGTATCTATGCTGAAGGGGCTATTGCCAGAGACATCAGACTGTTAAATATCTATACACGTTTCTATTTCGGCAGCGTTAATGACAATTGTGGCGAGTTATTTTAATTCCTGTAAGATGGGAAGAGCTTGCCTTGTGCTACTTTTTCCTTGAAAACAACAACAACATTAGCTCCGGGCAGGCAAACGTCATCCTCTAAAGAGGCACAACGATGAAGATCCCCCCCCCCCCACCCAATTTGGTTTGTGACAGACACAGCGTGACCTACACAATGATAGACACAGAGAAGATGAACCGACATGAAGCTCATTGCTGTGTATATATTTGCGCGATCTAACCTAAAAAAACTATGTTTTGTATGAAGCTCGTGTAAGTGGGTTGGCGGATTGACTCGACTGGGATGGGCCCAGACGCCAGCCACCAACCTGTGTCTGATCAGGCCCAATGTGGAACGACTGCAGAGTCTTGACCAGGAAGTTTTGTACATCGGACCATGGGTAGATGCTGTTGGAGCCGTCCAGCACGAAGACAATGTCCATGTAGGAGCCGCATTCTGGGGAAAGGGACAAATAGTGGGAAAGGGTCATTCACAGTACAACTTGCTGACCTGCCCACACTGGACATCTCTGAAATATAGCTTCATTGCTCATCGGATTCATCCGGTCTAAATGAAGATTCCGATTATGATTCTCAGGCGCTCTCAGCCAATATCATGCAAACCCTCTACGTGAGCATGTATGGCCACTGCTGCTGCAGTTTTAAACCCATTATTCAGACAGCAAAGCGAAAGTTGGATTAGCAGCGCCGTAGTGGTTATAGCACTGCGTTGTAAACCCAGCGGCCTAAGTTCAATTCCGAGGCGTGGCTAACATCAGCGTTGGGCGAGATCCAAACCGGCTGCATCTCCAGCGCTTTCACCAATCAACGCCGACCAGCATGACGAGGTACTGACAAACAGTGCACGTGACCGACGTGGCGTGGGAAGGCCTTCATCTAGCAGTGGATTAATATGGAGATATCAATTATTATGATGATTAAGGCCATCCACACATGCAAACAAGATTCGGGTAGCTCTCATCTCTCTTGGTGGTCCTGAGCTAGAGATGGAATTCATAATACAATCAGTGTGCTTTGAGATTTAAATGCCGTAAAAGTTCAAAAATAGAATGCGTATTCTACCAATCCAAAAGAGATGATGCGCTGCATCAACCTACAACCAGGATTTGAGCGCCTGACTTCTGTTTGAGAGATGCGCACGGTGCCACAATACCACGACCTCTCGTGCCTGCAGAGGGTCAGATAGACCTATTAACGCACAATATAAGGTGCGATTCAGCACACGAATTGTGCAGCTTTTGAATCAATATCAAGTGACGAATCGTTACAGCCCTTGTGCTAAACGCTGAATACGGACGCAGCTGAGAAGTCAGCAAGTGTGGTGTCAGAGGCTGTCGTTCCTACTTTGAAGCGTGGGCGCATACGACTCGGAGACGTTGAAGCCGGAGTCGACATTGCTGCAGATTCCGGGGGCAAAATAGGAGCTGCCGCACTCCTGGGCCCAGAGCGGAGCGCACACCTGCACACGCACGGCGGGGCAGGGAGCAGCGGGCCAGGGCATCACTCTGGCCGCGATGCTCTGCGGCGAGGCGATGGTCCGGCGGCTGGGCAGGGCGGCCCTCTCATCAGCCGCTCGTGCATGCCCCCATGCCAAATCAACTCATCGAGCGTAGACTTGAGAACCCGGTATGATCTCAGCTGGCTGAAACCCAGATTCAAACCCACGATCACAGTGCTACCAGCCCATTGCTTGTATTTGTTGTTCTTTTTAGTGGGTTTTTTTGTATTTAAGAAATTGTTATTATTTATTCTGTTTGCATGTACTGATTGTTTATGTGGTTGCCTTGTATAACATCTTGAAACACTCTCATATTTATAAGATGTATACATTCATATTATTGTTCAGTGTTATTCCCCTAAAGAATGAGATTGAATCAATACTGACTACCCCAGATTCGAAATCAGCATCTCAGTGGTAACCTGCCCAGTGTCGTGGCCCCTGAACCAACCATCCACATCCCCAGCGGCATTCTGGTAACAGTGGCACAGGCTCGCAACCGTGCAAAGTGCGGCGAGCGTGTGGACGTACGGTGAAGCTCCCTGGATCTGGCCCCGGCGCGAGATTCATTCCCAGGTTCATGTTTTCCTTCACCTCCGTGACAGATGGCACGGACACCACCTCTGCACCACACAAAATACAAAGTTCGCACGTAAAGCATCCTGTCGGAGCAAGTGCTGTTTGCGAGCACCTATGAAGGCCGGCACAACACACGAGGAGTTGGTTGGTAAGCACCACGCCCGGCCGCCTTCGTCTCCCCGGTGCCGATGTTTACACACCTCACCAGGTACTCATTTGAGGCTGAGTCGACTCAGGGGTGGCCCATGACCCATTCAGATAATCGTCACTGGTGTTGGCCGTGAGCAGAAATCGAACCCGGGTGGCTGTGTTCGTAGAACAGCACACTAACCACTGCACTACTACTCCCCACACACGCACACACGCGTACGCAGAAGGCCCTTCGTACCACGAGTTTATCCACCGTGCGAAAGTCTCGTGCTTGAGGCAGGCAGGTCGCCTCCACTTCAAAACACTGAGAATTGAGTGTAGTTAAAGCGAAGATGTAATAATCCATCCTGAGAGATGATGATTAGGTTATTAAGTCTGGCCCTCAGTGGGACTAGTGCTGCTTTCTATGACACAATACCCCGGGCCATGCTGGGCTGTTCCACGGGCGGCTCCGTGGGACTCGGTCCTTCCCACTCGGCCCCCTCCCCTTGAGCCCCTTGCCCTCCTCCTTCTCTTCTCCCTCCACCACCGTTGGAAGGAAGTGAACGTACACTGCTTTATTTTAGCAAGGTTTATCACGTGATTGGATTAGCCTGCGCTTTCCCAATCTAAAAATCTATTATTTTCTAAACAAAGGCACAACCCTGAACTCCTGAAGCCGACCTAAGGCACCATATACCCATTGATCTCGTGTCTCTCTACCGCGCTGACCCCGTGACCTCAAACCCATTTAAAGGCGATCCGTCTAAAGGCGCATAGCTCCCTTAACTGAGTGAACTGCGAAACCCATGAGAAATGGGCCACGTGGGGTGGAGAAGACCGGGTTTGCTAAGTGGGGCAGACACAGCAACTCGGGCGGATGCCACTCGCCCCGGGTTTGTGATCCAGGACAGGGCCTACTTTTAAAGTGGTCGTGGGAGAACAGCATGGGTCTCCACTCAAGACATTGCACGTGGAGCTGCACCAGGCTCACGTCTTCATGCCCATGCCCACCCCTCTCCAAAAGTGGCTAAAGCCAGCAGCAAAAATAGCAACACAACCGACAATCATAAAGCAAACTGAAATAAATTGCTCCAGGTCATAACACTGTATATGCAGCAGCCAAGATTGGCAATATTGGCAGATGCCTAGATTTCCCCTGATTATAATTACATATAATGCGTTGTGGTAAGTTGTTGAATGTTAAACAAGGGGTAATTAAATTATGCAATTTGGAAAACAAATTAAACGATGATTATTTTAATCGAAAAAGCAAAGTAAATATTTAGATTCCGTACGTCCCTTGCATTCATATTTTGTTGGTGCTGTTGTATTTTTCTTGAACGAGCTCGCCAAAAATATATCAGTCCTATCTGTTTTTTGGTTTCGAACGTTCTTTCGGGAGAACATTCCCTTAACGAGTAGCATGAAGAGCAGGAACGATCTGAGAATATACATGGCCTGAGCCCCCTCAGCCCGAAGTGCCAAGATCAGATAGCCTGAACCCCACCATCGCACGCAACCTTCTCTCTCTCTCTTGTTGCTGCACTGAGGCCAGGGATGCACGGTATATCATTCCCTGCTCCCTCTCTCCAGACTCGACAGAGAATCCCGCGGGAATCTGTTACACTGCCTCAGAACCAGCTCGATTATCCGGAAGGAAACGCAAAGGCCAAGCGAGCTTCTCCTCTGCTCAGCAAATTCTCTTTCCGCCAAAATCCCCCCCCCCCCCCCGCCCAACTCCTCTTTTGCATTCTGGAAAAATGTAAAAAGCAAAGAGGCAGGGAGGTGTTGAAACAAATGCTTCACGCAAGGGATGCTTTCGCTGTGTCAACAACAGATTCCTGCCGTTCGCATCCAGCCCTCGTAGCAGCATAGTTGCGGTCCACAAATCAACATACATAATATCCAACATTGCTAACGTATACATTTACTAGGATCACAGTGACCTAACATTTGGGAAATGGCTGTTAAAACGCCTGCGTCTTCTGCGACCAAGAGTTTCTCACCAAATAAACGTGGATCACATTATCCGCTTCCTAACTTCCTCGTTATTTGCAGTTGCGCTATGGAGCCTTTGTTTGCGTTCCACGATGGCATCCCTCCAAACAGCTCGCTGAACTCCCTTGGAAAGCATCCATCAGCCCATTCCGGATGGATTATAGGTTCTTTACCACGTCCAATATTAGCCTGTTTTTTTAGATCCAAGTAGAAGGGGAAATTTACAGAGAGGTAGAGAAAAAATATCGGCCGTTGGTGTTTGAAAGCTTTCTTCACCAAATGTGGTCTACGATGGTAAACTGATGAATCCAAGCTGACAGAAATATCCTTGAAATAACAATAATTGTTAACTGCATGTACGCAGGAAAGTAATGCTATGTCTTTAAACTGATTTTCTGCAGGGTCCTGCATTGACATGTTTGGGCAATACCATTATGATAACAATTCAATTAGCAACGTGCACAATATTTAACAGACATTAACTGCCGTGACTCTGAGGCGCGGAACCATTAATGAGTGTTTGGTATTTGGAAGGAAACCAGAGTTGACAGAGAAAAACCATGCTAATGGGCGGTAACAGTCAAAGCTCCACAGAGATCGGTTCAACATGCAGACTCAATTCAGTGAGTGAACAGAATCTATTTCCTGACCACGCCCATTGCTTTACTTCCATCGATTTGCACCTCGCGGTCCTCGCCGCTTTATTAAACATGTGCTCTGCTCAGATATCTCCCTCACCCGCATCTGGCGTAGGAAATCGGCAAATCTTACCACTGGGCCCTGTCGCCTCTCAACGTTAGTGCAGAGGCTTTGCCGCCATCCGTGATGTTATCACTGCTCAAAATCCCATCAAAATGGGTTGATTTAATTGCCGATGGAAGCAATGCGTGCTTGGGACCAGGGCCGGATTTTACGCAGGGGAGTCCTACAAATATGTATAAAGATATGCTTTATAATGGTTCAAATGCAATATTGTAGGACAATGATACATTCTATGATGCAATTTGGTAATTAAAGTCAGATATCATCACTGACATATGTGTATTTCCACCAATTATGCCCCAAAATTGTAAAAGTTATGTTTGATTTAGTATTACAACGCATGTATCACATTTAAAAACCGAAATCACCAATGTGAATATCAATGCAGCGTTTGGCATTGGGTATGGGTGGTGGTGAAACCGTCAAAGGCAGGGAATTAAATCTACAAAGAAGGCCCCCCCCCCCAGAACTACGCACAACCTCTCTATGCCGGTCCACCGACCTTCCTTGGGGCCATCCTTCTTTAAACCGAGTGGCCACGTCTCGCCGGGCGCGACCATCAACGGTCACCCCCCTCCCCCGCCCCCCACTGGGGTGGCATCGCTGTTGACGTTCGCCCTTCGCGGGGTTGCCCTGGTTGCCGGTGCCAAATTTCAAATGCTTCCCTGCGCTAGACAAAACTTCCCCGCCGCTGGGAGGGCCGGGCGTTTTCTCGCCGCTTTCGCGCGGTCCCGGGCGGCCCTCGCGTCATTGCGCGACTCACTCTCCAAGCCCAGCTTCTCGCAGCTGGAGTTGGTGACCTCCGACCCGAGTCCCAAGGGGCATCTGTACACGTCGCCCGGCCGCGTGCCCGCGGAGCCTTTCCATGGTGCCCCCACGAGCAGCCTGCAAAAAATAAGAGGTGGGAGATGGTGAAGGAAAAAAACCCCATCATGTGTCTCACGGAGCATTTTATTTGCTTTGGTTTTGTTTTGCACGCGCGTGTGTTTTTATTTTCTCTACTGTGCATCGTGAAAACAAGTTCTTTATTTACCCAGGATGACTTCACTTTGTCTAAAGACTCTTTTAAGATGGTCCTGATTATATTCTTAGTTTTTTTCGGTAAAGTCACGTTGAAGGGAAACAACAAAATAATAAAATATTTTTTATTGTTTTATATATATTTTATTATTTTGTTGTTTCCCTTCAACGTGACTTTACCGAAAAAACTAAGAATATGAATTACTGCAGTCACGAAAGCTTTAAATCAAAATGGTACTGATTATTTGGATGTTTGACCAAGTTTCTGTATTTTGGGGATTTTTTTAGCACAGTCGGACAATTAAGTCGTTGAAGAATACCCACTGTTACAAGGAGAAAACACGCACACGATGTACAGATAGGGCAGCAATCTACTTGCTGTACCGTCTCCTTAAGAAGACCTACTTGCTATACCGTCTCCTTAAGAAGACCTACTTGCTATACCGCCTCCTTAAGAAGACCTACTTGCTATACCGCCTCCTTAAGAAGACCTACTTGCTATACCATCTCCTTAAGAAGACCTACTTGCTATACCGTCTCCTTAAGAAGAGCTACCTGCCCTGCATATGGGTGTCTTTGTTGCAGTAGCCAAGTGGTTCAGGGATCAGAGCACTGAGTTAACACCACTGAAATCCTGGGTTCGAATCCAGGTTCTCATGTGAAGTGAGTTGATCGTCTCAGCCTGCTTCACATTGACGATATTTGTAAATAAAATATCATTATCAAACACAGTTTTCCCATATTCGTTGGTTCTTTCGGTAAAGTCACGTAGATAGAAAATTAATAGATCACAACGTTTCGATCGCAACACAAGCAACCGTCTTCAGGCGAGAGAGAGAAAACTACTCTCTCACCTGCTCTCTCACCTAAAGAGGGTCGCTTGTGTTGCGATCGAAACGTCGTGATCTATTAATTTTCTACCTACGTGACTTTACCGACAGAACCAAAGAGTATGGATGCCTGCAGTCACGAAAGCTTCAAATCAAGATAGTTTTTTCACTTAATTTATCTTATTCAGCTCTGAGACTAAAATGTTTTTGTTTGATTGACACGGGACGAAATTTTGGCAGGACATTAAAAGGTGTTCTCTGGGTGCGGAGGCTTCCAGTAGCGATTTCAGAAGCAGTTCTTTGATGTCATTTTCCTGGGGCTGTTATCTTACACAGGGTGATACTCTACTCGCTGCATGTAAATGTGTTCATCTCAAGATATAATGTCAACAGCACAAGTAGAATATAATTGTGGCAATGGACATTTTAAAGAGATGTAAAGCATCTCAGTGCGATCCACCAACTCTTACCCCACCTCACCAGACTAGAGGCATGTGCAACTATATACAGCTTAATCGGCTCAGAATATAGGAACCGTGTACGACCCTTCAGCATCTTATGAAACTCTGACAGTTGTTAATAAGACAATAAAGTGCGATTCGTTTAAATAGTAGATGAAAAGTGTTTATATTTTAATTGTTACACGATGGCTTCAATAGTGCAGCAGGTAGTCACCACGAGATGCTTCTACAACGCGCACGCACTGTCGCCACTTAAAGCGTCAACGTTTGGCGGTGGCTTCCCGGATTACCCCATTCGCCGCAACTCAAAACCGAGCCCCGTTTGTCCTTGCTCTCTGGGTTTGGCAGGAACGATCGCGCGTGTGTTTGTACGACGTCTCTGGGGGTTTGAATTGAATTTTTTTTTGTTCTAAGCGAAAGGAGAACGACAGCCAATTTCTGCCCACGGCTGCGAGTGTGAAATACTGCCGCTGCCGCCGCTTGCCACCGCCGCTGCCACCGCTGCCGCCGCCGCTGCCGCCGCCGCTGCCGCCGACCGTCTATGGGACAGCTCGGTGAGGTCGGCCTTCTGTACTCAGCGATGTTGCCAAGTCAGCAAGTAAAATCCGCAGGGCTTGGATACTTGCACAACAAAGACCAACATTTTATTTTGTGTGTGGTTTCTTTTAAAACATTGCGACGTTTTGGAAGAGGAACAATACTCCAAGTCTCCCTCTCATGCCTCAGTGCTGAATATGCATGCCCTTTCCATGATCTTTTATTAAAGGACAGGGATCTGACAATGACCTTGCATGGTTCAGTCATGCGGACGAATCATTAGACAATTGTAGTATACGCCTGTAGTGTGGGACTTGGGAGGCAAGAGTTCACGTAGATTTGGATCATGGAGATTTGTGAAACTGGGCTGTGAAGTACAGCAAGTGGATTTGCGAGCCCACCTGTGCAGAACGTTCACGTTATTCCGTCACATGTTGGGTTTTCTGCAGATACTCTGGATAAAACCACGTAGTTTTCTGCCACGTGCGGAATGCTTTTTAATGAAATTAGTCAAATATTCCAATGTAGGACTGTCCGAAAAAATGGTTTTGAGACTAGGTAAGGTGTTCCTGGTTAAATAGATACATTTTTTTATTATTTTATCAGCATCGGTGTTCATTGTTGTCATGAATCGAGTAAAAATGTGAACTACAGATTTTACTCGCATGCAGGAACACAAGCAAAATACTGCGCGCACCCAAGAAAAATTCACGTTAAACTCTGTTATGGTGTGTGGAAACTAAACGCACAGTTAACAGTCCGCATACTCGCGGCTAACACATCAAACGGGACTATCAAAACTGCAGAGACAAACCCCCCCCCCACAATTTACGCGCCAACGTTGTGCGTAATCACGCGCATGACTGGGGTTCACCTTCATGGAAACAAGTTCACTTGTTCACGCCGACTTCAAAGGCGTGGAGGAAGAAAAAAAAATCAACGGAGAGAAATCATCGCAGGCACCAGGCCCCTGACTTAAGTCATGCGGTAAACGAGACAGCAACGGATCGAGAGCCCAACAACACCCCCCCCACTCCCCCTGCGGAGTCCACCGCCCGCGTGTCGACAGCGGCAACAAGGAGCGGTCTTCATTCTCCGCGAGCGTGGGGTGGCTGCCGTTGCCCCCCCCCCCTCCCCCCATCGCGTTGGCCACGAGGCCCGGGGCGAGCGCGAGGCTGTGGAGGTCTTCACGCATGGGTTCAGTTTTAGCGCACGGACGGACGGCGGCAGCGACGTGCCCCATCTATATTAATGGGCACGGGCGTGCCAAAAGACACACGCGCGCCCTGTTGCACCTTCTCCCTGAGCCCGCTGTAGTAACATTTTAATAGATGGCAGTGCGGCTGAGCACAGGCCCAAAAGGCTAAACGGCCAGCATCAAACAGCACGAATGATGGTGTGACAGATGAGAGCTTACGCGCACACAATGGTTTGAGCAAAACAGCAAAGCACTTGGTGACGGTCGGAGGGGATACCAAAGTGGAGCCGTGCAATTATAGAATGTATTCATCGTTGCATCGCTTCTATAATCGGTTACATTTTTACATCCATATAGGTGGGGACCACTCTCTCTATAGGATAAACAATGCGGAATTCTCACAAAACGGTAGACATTTTAATCACCCTAGAAGTATGATGAACCGAGTAAACCCTGCTTGAGATTTGACAATGTGAGCTTGCGGCAAAACCGCGGTGCCCAGCGAAAGGAAGCGAAAGCGAATTGCAGTACCATCAATGACCTCTTGTCCTGGTGATCAATAGCCCAATGTTCTGCCGAGGCAGCTTCACAGTGAATAATGTCACGTACCAAGCTCTTGTTATTAAATGCCTCAAGGCCAACACTGAAATCGCTGGCATTGCCTCCTTCGCTGTGGAATAAAAAAAAAAACCTCCCTCTGCGGTATTTATCCACAAGGCAGCCAGCTCAAAGTGAACTGAAACCAACACTCGACCAGCAGCAGTGAGCATTACAATGGGGACAGAGTCAATGAGAGCACACAAAGGGAGTCACAGACCAATCCCCCTCAGTTTTCACCGTGATCCCTGCCCAAGCGAGCATCTTCGCCTCATCGAAAGCGAGCAGTAATCACGTAAGAAATTTCGGCTGTGATGTTTCGAGTAATGGCCCTTGATCAGCGCGGAGAGTAGAAAAATTGACTGGCACGTACGTTTCAGTAATTCGTGCCTTATGAACTTTGATGAAAGTTCACATGCATAGTCTGAATGGACATATGAACAGTTTTTTTTCCAAAAACAAACATGAAGTAGCAAACAAACCATTAAAGAGAAAAATGTGGACGTGCCAATTTATGCAAGTACAAATATGTACAGTATAGTATTATATTTAGATGCCAGAACTGCGTCATGGGAAGGCAGACAACTGGGACCGGTAAGGGAATGTCATAATAAAGTAAATCCTGTTGTTGTGCTTGGTAATTCTTCTTATTTAGAGAGGCAACATGCGTGGTTAAAATAACCAAGGCAAAATTAATGAGCCAGTGCATGGCTCCCGAAGCGGCTGGCTACAAGTCTGAGATGCTGCCAGCAAACATCCGAAGGGGGGGGGGGGGGGGGAAGCTGACTTATGTCGCAATCCAAACCACATCGTCTCCTACGTTGAGACAATTCAGCAATTAATAGCAGGGCTGTCGGAGTCGAGTGGGGGCTTACCAGTTTTTGCCAGAGGCGTAGTGCTGTTGGACACTGAAGCCAAACTGCGCTTCCTCGGGCCCACGGAAAACCGTCGGCCTCTTGGTGTCGAGATTGAAGGCACGGGAGGGCATCCACGGGCCTGCATTTGATTTGAGGGCGCGCGATGACAGAGAGACGCGGGGGGTTGGGAACAGACAGCCAGCGGGGGGGGGGGGGGGGGGAGTAGTTAGAAATTCCGTCAGGCAGCACAGAAGCAAATGCTCCTCCAGTGCTCGCGAGACGCCTGGCTGCCTCATATGGTGGCACGAGCCAGCGGGCAGCTGCCGGTACAATTGTAAACCCTTGTTCGTCTGAGCGGTCACAAGTAGCCATTGAGTGTGCATCGCCGGGGAGATGGGGATGGGATGTTCTTGCGGAACCTAATTAACAGCTGCGGACACCCATGTGCACTCCAACACTTATTTGTCGTAACCATGAGCACCACTTTCAGGGAAAAGATGTTTCATATAAATGGGATCAGTGCACAAAGCCATATTTCATCGTACGTACATAACTCAAATGCTTGTTTTGCTAGGTTTTTCTTTTTGCTCCAAACATCTGCTGATAATTTAATTCAGGACTCCTCGGCGGATGTACGACGGCCTAAGCCTTGACATTGTGCAAACATCTTCACATGACTAAGGGCAGCGTGAAGGCGGAAAACGAATCCTTGAGAGAAATTACTAAAACAAATTGTATACCCCCACTGCCAGACATCTCCAAACAATGTCTATTATTGCACGGGAAGCAGACGGGACCCGACTGTATCAAAATTTCCCAAGTGGGGCATGAAAAGTGGTGGCGGGGGACCAGAACAAAAAGGAAACGAGTCTCTGACTCAAGTTTCTAGGCTCGAATTCAAGCCGAGGGCCCCCGGCATCGTCGCAAAGCGGCGTCGCTCTCGTTTGAGCCACAGGTCCCCACAACACGTACAGCCCCGCCCGTTGTCGATCCACCGCCCAGCGAAGACCTCACCCCGCACGCCATGGGTGTTGCTTGATCATACTTTGCCCCACGCTCGTCAGTGCAGGTTTGTGAAGTGGCGCGGGGGGTTACTTCGGACCAGCTCAGATATCATTCGCCACTGATGTCAGCCGTGAAATCGAAGTCAAGTCGCCGGGTCCATAGCACGGTGCTCTAACTACTCCACCGATACGCCGATACAACGCAAGCGCACAGAAAATAATAAAAATTCACGTGGACGAGTGGTCACCCCTGTGTGTGTCCTGGTTCTAAATAATTAGACAACTAAGCCGATTACTGTAATTGACAAAAAAATTGCAAGCAACTACGTTTTTGGCAGGCACTCCCAAACCCTGCCTCCTGAAAGCCAGAAGCCCATTCACGAGTCATGCCCACCACGACGCCGAGAATGTCACCAAGCGACGCCCATCACCTCCCATTCAGAGGCATGCATAGGAACAGGGGTGATACTTTATTTTTCAAGTCTTTCCTTGATATCAGATCCGTTGAGTAATGGAATCAATAATCGTAATCGGTCATCATTAGACCTCCTTTGCCAGTACCAAAATATAATAATAGGGTTTTTCCCCTTTTTTCTGGCAACAAAACTGAAACCTTTTTTTTTACAAGGATTCATGTTTGCATTAACCACAATACCTGCAGTCAAAATGCAAACAAAAAAACACTATGATAATGTATGCATTGTCCTTAAAACTGATTGGTCCACACCAAGGGACGGCTTTCTTTTGAGCCTCGACTCAATTGGTGCTCGACCAGATGACACCAAAAGGCATTCACAGCAACGCAATAAATCAAGACATGGTGGAGGCATACATTCGAACCCCAAAATTTAACAAGTGTTTTGTTATTATATTTTTAGCTCTTTCGGTAAAGTCACGTTGAAGGGAAACAATAAAATAATAAAATATATAAAACAATAAAAATTCTCACGACGTTTCGACCATAACACAAACGGTCGTCATCAGGTGTATCGGTTTGCATTAATTTATGTATTTTTAAACGGTGTGTTCATTTATTTATTTATTTAAAAAAACCGTCAGCACCACGCGCAGCGATTTGGCAGTTTATTTAGAAGGACGAGTCCATCTATGTTCTGAAAAGAGGAGGGGGGAGACGAAAAATTAATGTATGCTGTCTGAAAGCCACTGTAAGCGTGAACAATCAATTAAGACCTGAAATGGTTAATCAAATCTTTCCAATGATTGCTAACGTGACTTTACCGAAAGAGCTAAGAATATGAATTACTGCAGTCACGAAAGCTTTAAATCAAGTGTTTTGTTATGAATATAAATAAAATTGAATGCTGTATTAATTATTTCTATCAGTCAACCACAGCATTTTGAAAGCTGTACAAATATTTGCTCCATGTGGGAAAAGGAATTTTTGTGCCATAATTCAGTTTGGAACATGAAGTACTAAAATATATCCAAGAAAATCTATCCTCGACTCAAGCATTTTTCTGCATATCTCCCCTTTCCTTACCAACACACATCTAGCATTAGCACAATGAGTGTCAGAATTGTAATCATCACTTTCTTAACCATTGGCATAACTACAGGTGTATTAATTCACCACCACCATGAATGTATCAGTTGTTGCAATTGATGTTTGCAAACCATTAAAACATTATTTTGTTAAACGTTGTGGTGAATCTAGCAGCCTCTGGTGGATGGAGGGTTCATAAAAACCCAGAACTGTACATGCTGTATAACAAATAAAATACAAATTCACCTCAGCTCACATGTCAGAGTTTCTTTTCAATTTCCTTACCAGATGATTTACAATCTAATATTAAGTCTTTAAAAAAAAAACTTCGGGTGATTCATGACACAACTCTTTCTGAGAACTACTTTGTTTTGTGTTGCATCATGCGTTCCTAAACAGACAAATTAGAGGTGACTGTTGAAAATAGTTTATTAATAGTTTTCAGCCTTCCTCAACCATTGCAAGATGAAGGCTTATGCTTAACACCATACTTCACCAGAGTAGCCGGTGGTCAGTTTGGTGAAGGCACGGGGCACCATGACCGGCTCAGATATCGCTCACCACTCATGTTAGCCACGACCAGCAACCAAACTCGGGGTCACTACATTCAGGTCGGTAACCCCTGTGCCAAAAAAAGGAAACACGCCCCAAGCATATATGACCATCGCGGAGATGGAGCTATGGAATTAGCTCGTGCTCAACATTCAAAGGTTTGGGGTCGCACGACAGTGAGGGATGGTGGTGACATGAGGAGTTCTTCCTCCAGAAGTGGGCAGATAATGGCTGATGACGATGCTGGTGAAATTGTATATCAGAGTAAATCATGTATTAATTGATTAATCAAAGTATCATTATACCCACAGCCATGATCATTCCCTGTCACGGGGCCATGAATCTCATCACCATAATCATCACTGGAATTGTCATCAACCACCTTTATGTTAAGCCACCGGCATGGTTACTTTCCGCTGGCCCTTACGCCACACGGGATCCATCCAGAACAGACATAAATTGCAACAGGCCCCCTTTTAAAAATAATTATTACCATTGTCAAGCAACGTGCCTACATGCCTCATGATGTAACAGCAAGTAATGCACATGGCACGACTCCCCACCGCACAGTCTACATCTCGGGTGCCGTTAAAGCCATGACCCCTCCGTTGGGGTCACCTGCAGCAAATGGGATGAAATCTCCCAGAGGGCTTCCTTTTCAGTTCTGCGCCAGGGCTGCAAGGGCCCTTCGGCACAAAGAAGGAAGAAGAAAAAAAAGCCCACGGCTAATGATTTGCCCTTGTGTTTAAGCCGCAGAGGTTTTAGAATGTCCACAACCCTTTGGCATCTCGTGTCGTTCCATGCAAAGACCAAAATCTTTCAAACAATTGTTTTTTGCACTGAAGTGTGTGCGGGTAAAATATTAAAGCGCAATAAAATGTTACGTAATGATTTCTTTCGCTTCAAATATAATATATATAGAACGTATCGCCCTTTGCAAATATATTGCTGGATGAGGGCCTCCTCGCGACGTCTGTCATGAGGGTTGTGTGACAATACTTCACCATGCCGGTCTGTGCGGGTTGTGTGAACCATTGCTCAACCAATCCACAACCCCAATATATTATAACTATTGTGCGGATGATATCCTGTTCAGTAAGCTATGTAAACGCATCACAACTGGGGCTTAATCTCTCACTCGACAGTTGGCGGGACACTACTGACTAGCTTGGAGTAGACATTATTGACGTAAGGCACTACCACTAGAGTACAATGTACACTTTTTCATGACAATACTATATTATTGTACCCTATATTCATTTCAAAAGGTTTATAAAATTATATCTAGAGACTCACAAAATTAAGCGAGGTGGATGTGGCGTGCCAAAATAATTTACATTGTTTCAGGCTGTTCCGGCTGAAAATATGCACTGCTTACACGCAATATACTGTCCATATATACACTGAACATATATTTTATATGTAAAACTACTAAAGGCCTGATAAAAGTCAACTACCTGCCACAAAATATTAAAGCTTTCGTGACTGCATAAAATTACTCATTGTTTTTTTCGGTAAAGTCACGTATGTAGAAATACAATAAAATTATATTAAAACAAAAAACAATCACGACGTTTCGATCACAACGCAAGCGATCTTCACCAGGTGTCAAGAACAAATCACGGAGGTAAATACAACAAAAAGATGAGAGACGAGAATTCAACAAACCTGAAAAAACATTATGTGAAGCACATCCAGTCAGGCCAACAACACAGTTAGACACTTTCTGGCGGACCACGAATTTCAGAAGAGTGTTAAATTTCGTGTTCAACCTTTGGATTGCACATACCAGCATAGATAGAATGAAAAATACGAGGTACACGGTCAGTAGAAGATGTGCGTGTTTGAGCTGCCGCTCTCGCTCTGGCCCCTTCCCCCCTCCAACCGTATTTCCTATTTAAGCTTCTGTTCATCCCTCCGCCCCCCCCTCTCTCTCTGCCTCCCTGTCCGTCTTTCCTCCCTCCTTACCTCTTGGTGGACTTGTATATGTATTTCTACTGACCGTGTACCTCGTATTTTTCATTCTATCTATGCTGGTATGTGCAATCCAAAGGTTGAACACGAAATTTAACACTCTTC